CTAACAATGCCAGTATTTACCTTTAATCATCCTTGGCGTGTGCCATAAACAGAAGCCCTATCGAGTAATTAATATTCGATCACATGTTGATTTTGTTCTATCAAACTATCATCACTTGTTAATTAGCATTGGACTTGTTGGGCCGTTCAATCAAATAAGTTCAATACACTCCGGTTTTTACATTTTCAATTTATAGTAACTCGAATAATTCAGTCGTTATATTCCACTGCTCTTCGATGGCTACATTAAAAGTGTCTTGAAAACTGCCCAAAGCATTTTTGAGTGATTGTCCGAAAACTTGAAAATCCCCCCTTTTTTATGAATAAAATCCCATAACTCCGGAGTGTAAAATCTAAAATTTATAAAATTCAAAAGGGAGCTTACGTCAATAGATATATACAAGTCACCAAAGTTTCATGAAAATTGGTTAAAGTGTATTCTAGTTCGACATGTTGACGATGGACGGACAACAGTATACCATAATATGTCCTGTAAACGGGTGTATAAAAAAATTGGAAAAAAGTAACATTTCAGGGGCGCAAACTCCAAAATAAATATCAAATTTTTCTCCAATTGTCAGGGTGGATACAGATTGCAAAATACAATTAATTTCCCCATAGGCACCAAAAGTAGCCTTTTTCAGGATATAGACATTAGAAGGTTGGTTTTAAGAATGAAACCTTGCTAGAATTAAAGAAAATTTAGTCTACAAAATATTGATTCCTGTTGCCTTTTCTTAACGCAAATTGTACTTAAGGTAGATAGGGTGTCTTCCTCCATCTTGGATTTTGAAATACCAGAAAACAATCGGTCTAGATCTTTAATAAAAGGTGCAAATTTTGAGAGTAGTAGGTAATTCATGTGTACGAAATTTCATTTCAATATAGAAAATGACATATTTTATCATATTTATGATTGTATTTTACAAAAAAACGGAATACTTTTGTTTGGTTCTATTTTTTCCAACTTTGCCACATAAGGAGAGGCAACTCAAATATAAGGGCAGATAATTCAGATAAAGTTACTTTTACAATAGAATGTGTTAGGAATTTACCTATTTTATTATGTAGCAAGAAAACGGGTCCCGTGACCCCATTTTTTCTTTTTCTTATCTGAAAGCATACTATTAGAGCTATCTTCTCATATTTTATCTCAAAATTTTATGGTGCAGTTTTCGTTTTATGGCAGAAAATTGGGTTTTCCATGCATAATCTATACAAAATCTGTCAATATTGCACAACCTGTAGCGTGAAAATAAGCCCTGTGACCCATTCTTTTTATTATTTTTTTTTAAAAAGCACGATATAAACTACATTTTGTCAAATTATTAAAACATTCTATGGATTATAATTTAGACACCCCATCTACCTTAACTCCCTTGCCTATCAATTCTGCATTTAAAAACATGTGTCTCATCGTAGTGTAGAAAAGACTTCTCAGTTCCTTTAGGGCGAAGGAAAATATATAATTTTAAATTTGGTATAATACAGAGTGCACAAAGTGTCTAGTAATAAAAAATACTGGATGCACACATATACCAATCAGGATTAGACATACTTTTAATTCTGAATATCATGATATCTTCATAAAATGGCTGTGCCCATAATATTTAATGTTTTATTGTAACCTATACAGTATTTAATATTTTATAAAATATTGCAATGTATGGCGCAGCAGATGCACAAACATATGTGCCACATATATATATCAACTTCAAAACATTCTCATTACTCTCTGAACTTTCCTAAAAAGAATTTCAGAGGTGGCCCTAGTTTAAACATAATATTTTATTTCCTGATTTTTAGAGTAAATGCGGTTGTGTTAATCAGGATCAGAAGATAATGCCTTTTTACTCCCATGATTCTTCATAGGCTAAACTGATCCAATATGTAACTGCGATGATGAATTTTAAACAACAATTTTAAATGAAACCATTTTCTTATAAAAGTGTATTTTTGAAACAGACTATAGCATTTCAAAATATCAAAAAACGTGGAAATATTTGTATTTCAACATTTAACTATTCTATAAATTCAAAATGTCATGCCTATTTTTTTTCTTTCTAGTTTGCAATTCAAGTGAATACTTTAGTGTTTTAAAAATTGAAAACAACACATCATAAATTTCATGCGTCCGAAGTGCTTTTCTGGATTTACCTTCATCTGGAAGGCTCAAAACCGAATATTTGAAAGCCAAGGATGTATAAGAACCAAAACAGTTGATGAGCTACATGATAAAAAAGAACCTAAAAAATAGCCAAATACATTTTATGTCAACTTTGCCCGAGGGTTCATTTCTGTCTATTTTCACTGAATTTGGTAGTTTCTATAGCAGCATTTGGGTCGAGTACGTCATGTTTAAATTGGTTAATGCTGATCCTTTTTGCTGTTTAGAATTTCTATCTAGCTTTTATATAGTTTCTGTAAAAAAAAACAACACAAAAATGTCTATCAAGGGCAATAATGAGGAATTGACTCCAAAGACCTATAGATCTTGTCCTGCTGATCATTTTTGCCATTTACAGTTTTCTGCTATCTATTATAGTTTTAAGATAACAGCCAAAAATCCTCCCAAAATGGTAAAAATCATCCGTTAAGGGAAATAACTCCTATAATGAGTTGCATGACAGTTTTGGTCAAAATAAGGGTAAGTAGATCTTGACATTCTTAGCATTTCTACCCGAATAGAATTCTATAATTGTTTCCAAGACAAAAGACAATATCTATGTTCTATTTTAAGCCTTGGCAGCCCTGTTGGTTGATAGGAGGGATCATCAGGCACATTTTTAAAACTAGATACACTTATTATGATTGTGGCAAAGTTAAGTTTCATTTGGTATAGTAGTTTTAGAATGGAAAACTTTTGTAAAAGTTATCAGATGAGGACAACAGACGATGACAGAAGATTGACGTCAAGTGATGGCAAAAGCTCACACTGGCCCTGTGGGCCAGGTGAGCTAAAACTGTAAAAGTCCCATTATTCCTAAAAAGGATTAAGTTTGATAAGGCCCAAGTATTTAAAGCTAAAATTGAATCACAATGAATCATAGCTAAAACAATGACTAGAAAGGAAATAGGTCTTTTTGTAAAAAAAAAATATCATGTGTTAGAGTTATTTTCATGTCATTACAAATAGCTTTTGTTTTGATTTCCACAGAAAATCAATGAAAACTAGTCAACTTTCATTGAATTTTAGGACTGGAAACATAGAGCACATGCATCGACAAAAAAGATCTTTTAACATTATGTGTTTTTTAACAACTTACATATCTGACTTGAATATTTAGCCAGCGCTGTATGTTTCCTAGGCCTAAATTTGGTTGAAATCCAAAGGATTTTGTCAACTTTCACCAAAATCTCTATTTCGGGGCTATTTGGGATGAGAATGTCAACACTTTATAAGAAAAATTTGATAAAAATTTGACAAAAATAGTCCTGTTTCACTTTCTTACATGTCTTTACATCAACTTGAAACATTTTTTTATAGAGAAACAATAGACCTAATATTGGGGACAAATATGGCACTTACCACTTACTCCTTTGTTAGATCTAAACTGTGGTACAAAATGATCAATAACACATGATGGCAAACAAGCCTACTTAGTATGAAAGTTTTCTGTCAAACAAGCTCAGAGAAGTAGCGTTCTCTAAGTGTTTCAGACAGACAGACTGATTGAAGGATACTATTACCATATCTCAAATGGCATGGGACAATTCTAACAATTGTGACTGATTACAATTTTTTAGATAAATATTTTACACATCAAGTACAAATGATGTCAAAACTAGTTATCTTGTCTTGGATAAATGCCAAAATTATGACATGAAATACATAACAAATTTTCAGTGCCAAAATCATTAGTTCATATATCCAGGTTCTGCACAGATTTTTTAATGAATTATCAAACGTCACATATAGAACATAACATTGATGCATAAATAAATCACCCTGAACACAACCCATCCTTTGGACTTTGAATGAAAGATATTGGAATGACCTCCCCCTCCCCCGTCAACATAAAACAAGAATAAGTGTGTCAAGCTCTGGGTAAATAAAATTGAGAATGGAAATGGGGAATGTGTCAACGAGACAACAACCCGACCAAAGAGCAGAAAACAGCCCAAGGTCACGAATGGGTCTTCAACACAGCGAGAAAATCCCACTTTAAAAAATTTTAATTTTGCATATATTTCAGAAAGTTCATATAAAAAATTTTACAGTAGATGTTCAATTATACAAATGCTGATTTTTTTTATTGGCTGAAAGACGAATCATTTGATTTTGTCATATGTTTTTATTTTGCATGAAAACAACCCATGCATATGAAAGTAACCCAAGATTATATAAATATTAGCTGTACCCACCTATTTAATCAACACTATTTTTCATTGCATTGTTAGGGTAAACCCTGCAATCAATTATCCTTTGGATAAAAAAAATCGCAAATTTATCAATTTTACAATATATATTGTAAATATGAATAATTGATAGAAATTAGTTACCATAATTTATTATCCCATGATGCATGTATGATAATTATTGTTGATAATATCTTATATGCTTCGTAATTTGAAATTGACATTTTTTTCTTTTCTTTTCAGACAGAACATCATATTTTGTAATGTTCTGCACAATCATTAACGACCAGAACATGTACATTCTATTCAAACATAGGGATAGCAGAATAATAGATAAATACAAACTGGGTCATGGGAATATTATGCTTCCCAATGTAACATACAATTAAGTTTATGGTTTGGAAACTGTTATGACCTAAAAACTTCAATCATAGTTAGGAAGCAGCTAGGCTTTGGTCATGCATTATTAATAACAATGTATGGATCTAATCCTCGATGCAATAAAATGAATTCCACACACTGAATTTTTAAGGAATTCATCAAGCAAACTTTTGATCAAGGAAACTAACAGCCATTTAATATAAAAAAAAAGGTGTAAGACTGAGTAATTCTTTATCATGATCAAGTCCAACAATAACTTACCTATTTCTTAAAATTGCTCTAGTCCAGATATACAACCTCAAAGATTCAAAGTCAATATTTTCATCATCCTGTTAATAAAGTAATAAAAACAGGTTAATGCAATGTCATCTCACCATATTTCTAAACATTTTTTAAAAATTGATTAATATCAATTACAGGTACTGCTCAAACAGGAACACGACTGGTTGACTTGGACAGTTTAATATAACTTGCTATTCAATTGGCCTTCTTTTACCGTAGGGATTCCTATACTTTAGGGTTAGCGTTCATTTATGGTTAGGTTAAGGGCTGCTCTAGGTAAGGGTTAGTGTAAAGTTGTAGGGTTAGGGCTAGTGTTAGGGTTAGGTATGGGTTATGGTAAATTTTAGGGTTAAGGATAGTTAAGTATAGCTCTATAGTTGGGACCCCTAAAGTAAAAGAAGGCCATTCAATCTAATTGCATGACTCTTATTAGCTATTTTGCAAGTCAGCACACCTGCCATGTTTGACATCAGGTGTTTCTACATCAACTACTGACTTACAAATATATCAAATAATGTAAATACTTTTATTTTAAATTTTAATAGGTATTCATTCATTTACCTATCACTTTGAAAAAGGGTATACTAGTCATAACCCTTTTTATATCCATCATTCACATTGATTGCTCCACTTTACAATAGATATAAGAAGATAATATGAGAGTTTTATAAGTACATAAACATGCACAAATTTTTAACAATAATAGTGAAATTTAAATCTAATCTACAAAAGGAGGCTCTCAAAATGGCAACAAAGATTTCAACTTTCCATATATGGATGGAAGACTCAAAAAGAGTTTTTGCAAACAAAATGGAATTTCCCTCTGAAGATTAGTCTCCTAACAGAGCGGTCAAATCTCCCTCTTTTCAAAAAAAATCTCCCAATTCCTCAATCTTTTACAATGACTTTGTCATAAGTAGTAGTTTGTCCTGTTCAATTTAACAAATCATTGTCAATAAATTGATTGTTTACAAAATATAGAGAGCCCAAGCTACCTGACAAATTGTTTTAATTATTAATTTATAATTGGTTGGACCATTTGAATATTAATTGTAAGAACCTGTGAAACAGTATTGATAAAATCATTTTTTAGGTGAAAGAACTAAGAACAATCCAATGTACTACACAAATCTTTTTCATGTGACCACTTGTTTTCCTCCATTCTCTGGTATAATCATTTTTATGTGTTGAAGGGGAAATAAATCTGTTATAAAATAGTTATATCTATAGTCTTGAAAAATTAATAAATCAAACCATTAGGTTTTAACTTTATTTTGGACAAATGTTTATAACTTAGTAGGGAAAACAGTAGCAACTGGTTTAAATTCCCTGAAATTTGCTAGATGAATAGGGTTTTAATGTTTCCCTCAATTTCCTGGTCATGAAGTTTGCTATGCACAGAACATTTTAGCATGTTTAAATAATTCTTATGACAATTTTGGTCAAGATACCATAAACTTTTATTAACAGTTTAACAATTACCTTGTCAATATACTGTAGTAGATCTAAGGCTTTCTTGAAATCAAACTCATTAGCATCAATATTGAAGTCACTGATATATTGCTACAAGAAGGGATAAATCATTAATCTATTATTTGTGTATATAGCAAATGAAGCAAAGCCAATTCTTCTGTACTTCATCATAGCACAATATTTAAGTGGGGATTTGATACAGCTTTACATTGTATTGTCATTTTATTTCAACTTGAGATATGTTGTAGTGTGAAATGAGTTTTTGAAAATAAACAAATCAAACATAGGTTACCTTGCTTGTTTTAGAGAAAACGAGTCTAAAATTTTATTGAATTTGTTAAAATTTTCTGCAAATGGTATTTTTGGACAGGAAATCTCTTATACAGTCGACTCTCGTTATCTCAAAGTCAGTCGGACCAGAGAAATATTTCGAGATACCTGTAGTTCAACTCAAACGAATACCAGAAGTTTGACAGACTAAGGGATGCAACTCTTGCTTAGCTTGGTAAGGCTAGAATAAATCCTGATGGGATCCATATTCTGGTATGAGATCGATGTATCTGTATGTAATAAGCTCAAAATGATAAATTTGCCAACCTTTAATGAGGATTCTTACACGTTTCTAATATTTTCATATGTGTTGGCTTTCATTTGTTCATTTTGAACAAGAGTGCACACGCTGAAATGTCTCGCCTACTATACTGACCATTGATTTTATGTTGATAGTCCTACATATAAAGTTTTACTACAAGTATCACATTAACATTTATGATCCAAGAAAATGAGGTCAAGGTCAGATAAACCAAGTCAGAAATACATGTACACCTTTAATACAATCCCTCCATACACAGAATATAGATGACCTATTGCTTATAGTATAAAAGAAACAGACCAAACCATGGAAATTCTATATTGACCAATGAACCATGAAAATGAAGTCAAGGTCATTTGAACCCTGCCAGACAGACATGTACACATTTAAATCATTCCAAATATAGTTGACCTATTGCTTAAGGTATCTAAGAAAAAAAGTTAACCAGGAAAACTGAACATTGACCAATCAACCATGAAAATGAAGTGAAGGTCAGATGATACCTGCCAGACAGACATATACACCTTCCAATTATTCCATACACCAAATATAGTTGACCTATTGCTTAAAGTGTAAGAAAAACAGACCAAAACACAAAAACTTAACATAAGCAATGAACCATGAAAATGAGGTCAAGGTCAAATAAAACCTGCCAGACTAACATGTACATCATTAAATATTTCCATACATCAAATATAGTTGACCTACTGCATACAGTATTAGGAAAACAACCCAAAACACAAAAACTTAACATTTAGCAATAAACCTTGAAAATGAGGTCAAGGTCAAATAAAACATGCCAGACTGACATGTATATCGTAAAATATTTCCATACACCAAATATAGTTGACCTACTGCATACAGTATTAGAAAAACAGACCAAAACACAAAAACTTAACATTGAGCAATGAACCGTGAAAATGAGGTCAAGGTCAAATAAAACTTGCCAGACTGATATGAACATCGTAAAATATTTCCAAACACCAAATACAGTTGACCTATTGCATACAGTATTAGAAAAACAGACCAAAAAATGAGGTCAAGGTCAGATGACACCTGCCAGTTGGACATGTACACCTTACTATCATTACATACACCAAATATAGTAGACCTATTGCTTATAGTATCTCAGATATGGACTTGACCACAAAAACTTAACCTTGTTCACTGATCCATGAAATGAGGTCGAGGTCAAGTGAAAACTGTCTGACGGGCATGAGGACCTTGCAAGGTACGCACATACCAAATATAGTTATCCTATTACTATAATATGAGAGAATTTAACATTCCAAAAAATCTGAACTTTTTTTTCAAGTAGTGAAAATGAGGTCAAGGACATTGGATATGTGACTGAGGGAAACTTCGTAACATGAGGCATCTATATACAAAGTATGAAGCATCCAGGTCTTCCACCTTCTAAAATATAAAGCTTTTAAGAAGTTAGCTAATGCCGCTGCCGCCGGATCACTATCCCTATGTCGAGCTTTCTGCGACAAAAGTCGCAGGCTCGACAAAAACCTCTGGAAAATGTGGCTTCATATTTTGTGGGAAATTCCCTTTCAGAATTCAGTTTTTTTTCAAGAATCCTCCCAAATTAAATATGCAGAGCAAATATTAGTATCACAAATATTAGTCTTCTGTTTCTTTTGAAAACAACAAAAAAACTTAATTGTACATTTGTAACTCATTCTATGAGTAATTTTGCACATTTATAATTGCTTTAACAGTTATCTCCCCTGACACTGTATTCATTGCCTCTTTAAAAAAAATTCACTTTGATAAAAAAAACAATGCATGGATTTACTAATATAATTGTTAATATTTATTTTAAATATCATTATGCTTAGAATTTTTTCTTTTATATCAATTCATAAAATCATAATATAATAAAGAGCTGCGTCATGAGCGCATGATACGCCTGTTGGCTTTTTCAATTTCAACGAATAAAGTTCCATAACTCCTCAATGTCATATCAGAAATTTATAATAAAATAAAAATGGAGATTATTTTAATAGATATTAACCAGTAACCAAAGTTTCACGAAAACTGCTCAAAGCTTTTTTGAGTAATTGTCCGAAAACTAGAAAAAAAAAACTTTTTTATGAATAAAATCCTATAACTCAGAAACGTAAAATCTTAAATTTATATAAAAGGAAAGGGAGCTTATGTCCATAGATATAAACAGTTCACCAAAGTTTCATGAAAATTGGATAAAGCATTTTTAAGTTATTGTTCGACATGTTGACAACGGATGGACAAACAGACAGACAATGATTTACCATAATACGTCTCGTAAACAGGCGTATAAAAATAAGATGAGGTGGATTGCCAATGAGACAACTCACCACCAGAGACCAAGTTTTTTTTTTTTTTATTTTTTTTTAGACTTTATACAATACACTGAATGACATTATGTAACTATTATAAAGTAGATACTTAAAATTTGATATAAGAATCTTTTTTCATTAAATTGACTTGAAGCTGATTCATTTTTGATAAAAATAACATATAATTAATATCTTACTTGTATTATTTCTACTGGTTGTAATACTCTCATATTATCTTCTTCCATTCCTAAATGCTGCAAATATACAAAATCATATACCATTACTCAAACATGGTTCTAGTAAAACTACAATTTATCAACCACAGACAATAATTGATTTTTTGTGTATTCATAGAAATTATTGTTTTGTATATTCATAGAAAAATGAAAACTTGGATGAATGACAGAAGATTCACGGATGCATCTGTTATCCGCATTATAAAGCATTACAGAAAAATATAATAGTTTATTTATTTGCATGACTAGTATGGTCATGGCACTGATCAACTGTAAAAAAGACAAACTTCAGTTACATCATAGTATGGTCATGGCACTGATCAACTGTAAAAAAGACAAACTTCAGTTACATCAAAGTAGAACTGTTTTATTTTGCCAAAAATTAATCAAATAAACAGGGGATTAAAAAAACAAAGAAATTCATGGTTATATAGAACTCATGTAATATGTTAATAATCATACCTCTATATAAGTGTATATGTAAATTTTACAAATACAAACATGTACATATGATGTTAATTTTGTAATATAGGATAATTATGTACATATTTTTGTGTATAATAATAAAAATCAAAATCCTAAAAATGACAGAAGATTATACTGACTCTATGGAATAAACAATAATGAAAATACATTACCTGTATGACCCGAGCAGGTAGTTGTTCCTGATGGGTTATTAAATCTTGTTCTCGATTAATATCTGCAATGTAGAAATAACATCTGAATCCTTATACAGTTGATTCAAATACCAAGCAATAATAATCAATCTGATTACTGGATTTCAATATTTGGACGATCTTTATAACTGCTTGTAATCTTTGTTTGTCACAACATTGGTTTACATTACTTCTCTGCATATTCTGAACTGTTCAACAGTTGTCTAACACAATCTGCACATTACATTTACAACATCAAAAAGTTTAGTGTTAATCATAATGGAAGATAACTCATATGCAAAAAGTAAAACTTTTGCAGTATGTGGGTACTTATATTTACATGAAAACCTTCTTTCTAAAAGCTCTACCTGTAGTCTCAATCAGATTACTTACCATCAATATGGTCTTCTGTAAAAACTTCTTTCTAAAAGCTCTACCTGTTGTCACAATCAGATTACTTACCATCACTTCTTTCTAAAAGCTCTACCTGTAGTCTCAGATTACTTACCATCATGAAAAACTTCTTTCTTAAAGCTCTACCTGTAGTCTCAATCAGATTACTTACCATCATGCAAAACTTCTTTCTAAAAGCTCTACCTGTAGTCTCAATCAGATTACTTACCATCAATATGGTCTTCTGAAAAAACTTCTTTCTAAAAGCTCTACCTGTAGTCTCAATCAGATTACATACCATCAATATGGTCTTCTGTAAAAACTTCTTTCTAAAAGCTCTACCTGTAGTCTCAATCAGATTACTTACCACCATGAAAAACTTCTTTCTAAAAGCTCTACCTGAAGTCTCAATCAGATTACTTACCATCATGAAAAACTTCTTTCTAAAAGCTCTACCTGTAGTCTCAATCAGATTACTTACCATCAATATGGTCTTCTGCAAAAACTTCTTTCTAAAAGCTCTACCTGTAGTCTCAATCAGATTACTTGCCATCACTTCTTTCTAAAAGCTCTACCTGAAGTCTCAATCAGATTACTTACCATCATGAAAAACCTCTTTCTAAAAGCTCTACCTGTAGTCTCAATCAGATTACTTGCCATCACTTCTTTCTAAAAGCTCTACCTGAAGTCTCAATCAGATTACTTACCATCATGAAAAACTTCTTTCTAAAAGCTCTACCTGTAGTCTCAATCAGATTACTTGCCATCACTTCTTTCTAAAAGCTCTACCTGAAGTCTCAATCAGATTACTTACCATCATGAAAAACTTCTTTCTAAAAGCTCTACCTGTAGTCTCAATCAGATTACTTGCCATCACTTCTTTCTAAAAGCTCTACCTGAAATCTCAATCAGATTACTTCCCGTCATGAAAAACTTCTTTCTAAAAGCTCTACCTGTAGTCTCAATCAGATTACCTACCATCAATATGGTCTTCTGTAATAACTTCCTCTCTTGGATCATCAGCAGCTAAACCTGCCAATTTACTAAGACTCAACAAGGTCTGGAAATTAAGAATCATAATATGACCGTTTTTATTATCATGATATTATTATAGCAGTAAGGTAGTATGGGAGTATAAATAAAAAAATGATAGAATTTTTTCATACTTTGCCAAAACGTGGTATATATTGAGAAATGTTCAAAAGTATGATAAAAATGATAGGTAACCAAGCATGTTTTCAAGCTACAGATTGTGAAAAAATGCCACATTTTGTATGGATTATACAGAGAACAAGCATCATTATGTGAGTAAAAGGTAAACTGAATGATAGAATCTTAAAATAAAATATGAAAAGATGGCTCGTATAATGCTATTAGATACACATGATTCTATGAAAAGTTCTATGAAAACCAGTATTTGGTTTAGGCAGAGCTGTGGAAAAAATTTACCAAAATCAGAAATTTACCTTTTTCTTTGCTAAGCAGCCAACTTCTAACCTGGCAAGGTCAAGTAATGTGTTGTGAGCCTAATAAAATAAAAACTGTAGAAATATGATATTCATCTTTGTCATTACAGTTACCATGATAAACATATGTATAATGATTAAAAACATTTATATAAATATATGTGAAACCAGTGAGAAATGAAAAGAAACAACAAATATGATGTAGTGTCTTAATGGCATTTTCATACAGAAACATAAAATATGGTTCTCTTCAAAACTTAATCCTAAACAACACATGTATACCAGTAAGCTCACATATAATATCTAATTTAAAACACTTCTTAAAAGTTAATCATTTATATCTGAATAATAACAGTAAGTTTAAATATTTTTTTCCAACTGCCTGAAATAAACTGACCTCAATATAGTTATCTGTATGAATGTCATGTAACCAGCTGAGGTATTTGTTATTATCTGTTTGTAGGAAGGATCTTAATTCTGCATGCTGAGAGACAGGTAACGACATCAATTTCCCTCTTTTACCTGTAAATACATATTAGAATATCTAGGGTAACAATAAAAATTTTGTAAGAAGCATATGTTTAAAAGTAAGTACCTTAGTCCTATCACTATCAAACTTTACAACAGATTAGGCCAATTTTCACCTTGTTGGCAATTTTCCTCTGTGTGTTAAAATAATCATCTTTATAATATCTAAGCACCATTCCTTGTATTTGCAACCTTTTCATCAGCCACCATTTTCTAACAAAATTTTAATTATTTTTGCATAACGTAAGCCTGGAACACATCTATCATCAATAATAACATGACATAGATGTTTATTAGGATTCCATTATTTTGGTTTGTAGACAACAATCACATGCTGTTTTGAAATGATATAATATTTCCCACATTCATTCAGCCTGTCTGTAATTTATCTATTTAAGCATTTTTTTTTATTGTTTCAAGAATTACTATACATGAATTTTCAAAATGGACTTTCATTAAACTCAACTGTGATATAGTTATCGTGTAAAAATAATATTAGATAATGATTCTTTAAGCAGAGAAGTTTATCTTCACCACCACATTTTTTCTGCTAATTTAAATACATTTATATGTTTATCAAAAATAAGAGACCGTACAAAACCTTGCTTTATTTATTACATGATGGTGAATTTCAGTATCCAAAACAAGTTCTACTTTCAAAATCAACAAAATCAAAGTAGTGCTTTACTGTTATAAAACCTTTGTTTTAGAGATTTATTTTGAAATATGTTATAATGGATGGACAAAAGGACAGACAGTGGTATGAAATAAAATATCCATTGCGGTCAAGTTATTATAAAAAGAAAACATAATGACAACCACCACAGGTTACTTGTTATATTACCTTTCTTTAAATACCAAGCATACAGGAAATCAGCAAAACCCTAAAATAAATTGATAGTATGGAATACTTGTAAAATATATATCATAGAAGTTTGTACACAGACAACATACTGCAACACTATAAAACATTATAGAACACATGCAGTGCAGTAATGACTACTGGTGCTGTTTAAAAGCATGTTTATATATATTATGTTGTATAAGTAGCTCTTCTTTCTGTTGCATTGACTGATAAAAATAAAGTTTCAAATGCTAAGGACTTAATACTTTATTATGCCCTAATGTCTTTTGATTTGATAATACTTGTTGTTGATGTTAAAGGGTGAAATTTACTTTTCTTTAGTGTATTACATAAATTCTTTTGGTAAAAGTTATGTAATTACATCACTTGCCATAAATAGCAACAAAGGCATTTGGAGAAGTGACTTTACATTAATTTTGGACTTATCAGACATTCTTATAATGCATTTGTGGTGATAAGCGATTGCACATTTTATATGTGTGGGTTTTCAGTTAAGATTTTTACTGCTAACCAAAGATGGCCATGATGTGTTATAAGAATCCTAGTTTTTTTCTCATATGTATTACTGATATTGGTTAGGGATGTCTTCAGCCTTCATTTTGCCTCAGACATTTAGATTAATCCCCAGATCTGTATCTTACAAATGCTTGACAGTATGGTACTTCAAATTGAATGCTTCCCTAAAACACAGACATACCAATTTATTAACAAATCTGGTTTTATTCTAAATCGTCCATGTAAAATTTTGAAACTTCAACCGTAGAAGCATATTTCTGATCAGAAATCCCTGGAAAATGTGGAAGTAAACAGCTCTGATGTTAACCAATAAAATTACCTTGTCAGCAAACTGTACTAGGTAACGTTCAATTCTATCAGAATTATTTGTATCATCACAAAGTTGTATGAGAATTTCAAAATCTAAGTATTTCTCTGCTAATGATGCTGCCATTTCATGTTTTCCATATTCTACTGTAAAATAAAGCAGATGTAGATGTAACTTGCATGCAAGCTCTAAATCATTGATTCTTGGAGGCACTCATATTAAGACTGCCATGCTTATTGAAAAAGAAACCTTCATAAAAAAGTTATCATGTTTTGTCTGTTAAGGTCAAGATGGACTAATTTTGTTCCATAGCAACAAAGATATATTACCTGTACGTTAATTCTTCAATATACACTAAATTTTTACATTTTTCAATTAATAAATATTGTGTCAAAATTTATTCCATCCTGAAGTATGCACACTGACAGCCTTAATACGTCTAATATTTACTTTTGACACTGGAAGCTAACCTATGACATCAAATTGTTAGGTGCAAGGACAATAGAAAGGTTTCCCAGAATTTTAAATTTTACACAAATAGAACTTTTACCATAAGAGAAATAGGTCGAACAATTCCTGAGAACTTAATATTCCTTGATGTCAACTCTTGTTTTTTAAATCTCAACAATAATAAACTCACCAAAGGCTAGGTATTATCATATTGAAATTAGGGCATATTCTAGGATTTTGAAGAGAAGAGTAAAAGGAGAAGTGTAATTCCATTACTGTTTCTGTAAGGACATATTTTCATGTTTATACATTATACATATACATTAAGGAAAGTGTTTTATATGGAACAGAAAAATATGCCTACAATATTTTTATATGATACTGTATATATATTGGAAAAAACTTAAAGGGAAAGTCCGCGATTTTTTACTTATCATCTAAATATGTTCGTCTTAACATAAAAAACACATTCACAAAGTTTTTAATTTATATTATTTCTAATAACGGAGAAAATCAAGTATTTGTAACTTTTTTGGTTGACCTACGTCACTGGGTTGTGACGTTTTAACCCGATTTGTTGAATCATGGGAAAAAATAAAATCTGTTAAAGTCTTAATTGCTTATCAAAATTTTACGTAATTAAAAGCGCACAGATGACCGTTGGTCGTAGTTAATAACCACAATATAAGAATGAAAGAAAATGAATATGTGTGTACCGTTTTGTATTGATTGAATAAAACTTCCTATATGAAGTTATCTAAATATAAATATTTTCGAATTAATTTCATAAATTATTGTTGAGATTTTCTCATAAAATATCTGTTGAACACTTTTACTGATATTAAACTGAAAATATTTTACGTTTTATTTACCGTTATAACTTTGGTAACCATTTCAAGGCAAAATATTTGTGAACAGAGTGTGTATATTATTTTGTAAAGTCATTGTTTATTTATCGATTTGAGGAGAATTCGTTTGAACTTTACCTAGCAGCAATTTAGCCTCAGGCGTACACAGGTGTGAATTCAAGCGTACACAGGTGTGAATGTTGTCATTTTGAATGGATTAACAGAAAGAGTGTAGCGTGTTTAATACACCAAGCTGAAATACCCGATGACAATAGAGAAACAATAATTAAAATATATAAATTAATTGAAAATAAACATTCAATTTTTTTAGTTCCGGAAGTGTATTTTGAAATGGAACAATTTTCGATTACGCTCTATGCAATTGGCATAAAATTAAAATATGAAGTTAAAAGAAAATTAATTTAACATTTCCCAATTTATAATTGCACATCTGTTTAATTTACTTTACCGGAATTCTTTAACTTGTATTTAAATCTGGCGATGTTTAAATGCTAACAATCGAAAAACTATCGCAATGTAAAAGTTTTTATTGAAAAAATACAATAGTACAACATGAATGAATTTTTATCTTCTTTTTAAAATTTCATTCCTACATAATAAATTCAACTAACAATCTCTTAGAATAATTATTTGTGAAAAGAATGCCAATTATCATTTATTTCATTCATTATAAATCTAAGCTATTAAAATAATTGTTTATTCCGTCTGGAAATTTTTATTTTCTTTTTTTTTTCTTTTGATCTGTTTTTTGTATGAGGTGTTCTAATTGTCTTTAAATCATTTTTATATTATATTATAATTTAGTGTAATACTCTACAGGGTAGCCGTCATTAATCCAAAATAGTAATTGTAGTACTTAATGGCATAGCTTAGTATGTATTGCTGACAATGACGATTTTAGAACAGTTCGTCTCCTTGAAACAAGCTGTACTAGTATACTTTTCCTGAGGTATAAGCGCCGTTGAAGACGAGCTCCAGATGTTCTTTCTAAAGGACAAAGCAGACTAATAGCGTATCGTTCGTTTGTTTGTTGGGTCAGGGGAGGCCAACCACTTGCCAAGAAAAACAGAATCACCATACAAGCATAGTTGTCAACACTATCGGAAAAGAGTTCCTATCGTCGGATGGGGTACACGAATGCTTCCAAGAATGAATAAGTGACATGTCTGACTCTGAACAGTCAGTAAACGAACTGAACAATGATCTACAGACATCGACCTCTTATTCTTGATATCATAAACTGCATGCATGTACGTTTATGAGAGCTATTATTTATCTTGTACCTGACGAAAACTTAATGCCTGCATGGTTATGTATCTTGCTATACGTTTTTATTGGTTTGGTGTGTGTTCACTCAAAATCGTTATTCGAAGATAATGTTTGTGAGATGTAATTTCACTTCTCAATACCGAATTTCGTCTATATATTTCACAAGTGTATACCACTGAGAAGCTCTGATTGTATATAATTCCTTTTTTTTTGTGTGGACCATCGTTGTTAACAGCAATATTTGATGAAGCAGATGATGATAGTAGAAAGCAATATGAGCATATTATTTATCTTGTGTCTGACGAAAAATAAATGCCTGCATGGTTATATCTTGCCATTTTGTATTGGTTTGGTGGGTGTTCACTCAAAATCGTAATTCAAAAATTGTGTTTGTGAGATGTAGATTTACTTCAATAACGAATTTCGTCTATATATTTGTGACAAGTGTATACCACGGAGAAACTCGAAAGGTATATTACTCCCATTTGGTTTGGGTGTGAACCATCGATGTTTACAGCAATATTTAATGAATAAGATGATGATAGTAGAAAGAAATATGAGCGTCATGTGGCAAATATTACATAAATGTCGGACCATGAGTTATCTATCTGTATGAAAAGATTTCCAATATAACCATATTGAGTAGGATTTTTACATGCTATACTCGAGTCGTACTAGTATACAGGCTTCTCATGTCGCCGTTTGACTCAGACACACATCTTTTACTTTAAGATGTATGAAAGATTCTATATATATATTAAATGTAACAATAATGATACGCCTACAGGCAATAACTAAACGGGTATGAAGTTTTATACAGATTTATTCTTATTTACATAATCATTAACAAACTAAATAAATTGAACAAAGAAACACAGTGACACTACGATATAACAAATGGGATACTTAATTATTTTTAACCATGCTATGCAGAAACTTAACACATCAAGTTAGCGCACGTGAATACCAATTTGGAACACGATGTGTGATTTTGTATAAAAATATCAAAGCGAGCAGTAACTTTGTCTAGCAAACTTTTTTTTACTATGCCTCTCTTTATCTCTTTTCCTTTACAATAACTATTACCCTTTTCGTCGATCATTCTCTATGTAGTATAATTTTCTTTAATCGGTTATTTTTTTTTCACTATGCCACTCTATCTCCGTTCCTTTACAGTGACTGTTTCCACTGTAACTGTGGAGCTCTCTTATCGTAAGTTGCATTACTTTATACTGCATGTTTGCCAATCGTCAAAAGCTTGCATTTGCGTGAAGAATTTTTTTTTCAAAAGAGGGTCCAGAATCATGACAAAACAGTATATGTATTTCACAAATTTTTTTAAAGATCATGTTTATAAAATTTTTAAACTTATTATCAGTAAAATAGTGGATAATATTATTATCAGAACATCATTCATTAACAGGTGGAATTATAATTTCAAACACGCACAAGATAAATAACGTCGAACACAAATATATGTGGTTCAATAAATGTTACCTGTGCACGTCGGGTATCTCAATTAAGAAGCCATGCATGAACCTGTATAATTTATTGTGTAATAGGAATTTTTAGTCGACAGGATGTCACTGGAATAACCAAGGACGTGTATCTAATATACGTCCTTGGGATAACTAACTAAATGTGTCGCTCTGACACGACATCTATCAATAATTCTGACATACCTATTATCAATTCGGGAGGAAGCCAAAATATATATATATTTATAATAAGATAACGTAAATAAAATTTAAAAAGAAAAAAAAAATATACATTTTTTTCCAAACATACCAGATAGGGTCACACATTTAACTGTAAAGTGTCTTTATAAGTGACTGTTCCGAATTGATCCCGTATCAATTTGATATAGTTAAAAGATTAGTTAAAACACTTTTTTGATAAAAAAATGAGGTGTCCAATATTTCGATATTTACATTTCTATAACCTGGGAATATTATACTATATCAACATATTTTGTCTTAGCTAAAAAATCTTCCTAACATTGCTCCCCGTCAATATCCGTTAAATATCATAATTTAAAAATGTTATTTATCGTATAACTTTATTAATTTAAAAAATTATCTTGACTAAATACGGAACTATTCTTTATATAAACCAATGCACTTTATATAAAAGAGGCATACTAATGAATCTTTTGTAAATCAGTGATTGTTACAAGAACACTGCATTTGTCTTTCTTTTAATTGAAACTTTTCTTCCTCATCAAATATATATTTTATTGAATCAACGAGATCTTATCATATAAGGATTTGATAACTATAGCTATCAGAACTGCTAGGTTATTTTGTTATTAAAAAAAGTATAATTACCATCAAATCTCCCTCGAAACAAGATTGTTCAAAATGGTCTTCACACATCAACTTGTGCTTGCTATAGATCATAACTATTTTCTTTTTTTGTGGGTTTGGGAAAACTATTAAGACTTTTGTCATAACCTTGTCGGACAGAACAACCGTACGCTTGATAAGACATTTTCACAATGGGTGATCATCTACGGTAACCCCCGATTGATGATTGGAGTTTTTAACGCACGGTCGGTAAATCCCTGATTCATTTTGGTCTTTGTGGTTTATAGATATCACGTGACTTTTTAGATCGAACATGCCGACAAGATGGCGATATGTCGAGAACTGATAGTGAATTTCAAAAATCGATTTTGATCTCTTTTCATATAGAATACAAGTTTTTTATTTATGAACATGTGGTTTTTTATGCTTAAAGAACAAAATATCAATTTTTCATTTTTTTGCGGAGTTTCCCTTTAATAAAATAAAACTGATATGTAGTTATATATTTCGTAATCTTAATGATCTGTCTTCACAATGCCAAGGCTTTTCTTTTATACCAATCGAAACAATCTTGGTTCATAACTTTACAGATTTTTTAGGCTATCATTTCCATCAGTGCCATCTGGTTGTTTTTTTAATGATAAATTTTGGATGATTCAGAATGGGTTAATTTTAGGGACTGAACCCTTAACCAGTTATAATCTTAAGAAATATGTATACCCCCCACTCCAAAGGAGCGTGTATTATTAGTTTTTTGGTGTAATCAGGGGTGTATATTTTTGTTAACCTGTGCGACTTGTCAATTACAAATTGTCTCCCTTATACCAATTTTGAAAGCGACTAAGCTATGAAGTCAATTGGCTGGTGAGTTTTATTGGTTTTCAAATTTTTTAAATGGTTATCTCGCCAGCATGATTATGCCCTGTTTGAAATTAAATAACTCAAGTTGATATCAAGCGATATCCAATTCTCATTCATTATGAAACCTATGAATGTCGGTCCAGTGATACATACATACAGATGAAATCATGTTATGTTTTATTAAACCTACATAAAGGTGCTATCATGTTATGTCTGTCCTGTTCGTATCTCTTCAGGAACTGATCATGATGTGCTGAATTACACTGTCTCAGTGATTCCAGTTGACATCGGTAGCCATCAAGGACAATGTCTGTTAGATGGACTAGCTGTTCAAACAATACATCTCTGATCTCTGCATCTCCTGTCTCAGGCAATGCTTCTTCATATGTTTTAGTATACTGTAAATAAGCACAATGCAATTATAAAATATGCATAATAATAATCATATCTTGTTAGTTTTTAAGGTATACTGACCATAATTGACCAAAGGATTTAGTTTTAAAGTATCAGATATTCTGTTCAAAACAAATATCAGAAAAACTTAATTTTAGTTAAAATTTAAACAGATTTTTGTCTTTTTTCTCCTTCTCCAAAAAAAACATGTGTCCAAAATAACAATTATAAAAATAATTGTTTGATTTATTTGTTCAAAAACTGAAATATTTCACCATTATTCAAATTATAGCAGAAAACTGAAGAAAAAATATTTGGTTTATTTGTGAATCCTTTCTTTTTTAATTTCGTGTTGTGTGTAAATTATATCTTGAATTTAAACTTTAAAACCACTACTGTTTCTAACTTATACCAATGAAAAAATTAAAAAAGATAATGTAAATAGAATACTACATTTAAATTTTCCTATCAACAGAGGTAAATAACTATTATTACAGTAGAAATAAAATGACTGGTTTTCAACAACTGTTGTGACAGGAAATTACTCTATGACTAGTATTTGTTGATTACAAAAAAACAAATAAAACTTTCTGTGTTGGAATTCATAATTTACTTGTCATTAAAGTCTGAGCATCTAAAAACCATATGATAAATTTCACATGACAGTACAATACAGTGACAATAAGAAGTGTACCTGTTTAATGAGAATGGTTCTGATTCCTCTTTCACCAGAGGTAGATGTCCATGGGGTGTATTCCAATGTCTCTGGTACATAAGACTGGTATACAGAGACTTTGTTTTGTCTGTATTGTAAAGCTTTGTCAAACATTGACTGTAAGAAAAATGTTGAAAAATGAAGCATCACTTTTTATTTTTGGTAATGATATGAAGTATATTTCAAGTAAGGTGCTTTGCATAAATTTGTCAAATTTTGAAATTTCCAAAACTTGTTTCCAAAACCCAAATTATGACTGTAAAACTATGAATTTAAATTATTTTACTTGATGGTAACCAGTTTTTCTAGGAGACATAGAAGCATGAAAAGAAATACTGAAATAAATGACTAAGTCTTTGGTCAAATTTAAGACATAGTGAAATACACCTGATTGTAATTGGTTGTTATTGCAAACAGAGAATGAGGATAGACCAGATTAGGTTAGGGTCCATTGGGTTGCATTAGGTAATGTATGGGTACAGAACAATTTCATTTTCAAGTTCTTGCATGAGCGTTGTCTCCCAACCCTTTCAGTATCATCATACATGTAGTTTAAAAGTACAACGCCTGTTAAATATATTCCACTTCTATTTCTGTATCCTGTTGTGAAGTTAACCCTATCAAGTCATCATAACACAATCTTAAGTAAATAAAATTATCCTTACCTGAAATTCCATCAAATTCTTGTCAGAACTTACTTGCAACATACATATCAACAAACTTACATTATTTCAAACTTTTTTTAAAAAGACAGAAAAACCAAGACAACATACTCAAAGTGACGGCAATAGCACACAATATCATTATGGGCTAGGTGAAAAAAAAACAATATTTCCAGACAACCCCTTTACATCTGTATCTGACAATGCTGTCTGATGGTTACACAATTAATACAAACCTGTAAAACAGCATTTACAGATGACACTACTGTTAACACATCCTGTGTGGTGACGTCTGCTGCCAGGAAATCTTCTTCATATTCCATCAATGCTTCAGCAATCTCATGAACTTTTGACACCTTTAAATGGAAAAAAAACAAATATAAAACACAGAATATTTCTATTTCAGAAAAAAAATCATCATACAGTATTTAAAACCTTTGCAACATGAATCAAAAAACATATGCATGTGTGCCTTCCATTTCCTTAAACAAGTATCAGCTGGCAGCATAATACATGTACCAATTGGTCATCAGGTCAATTATCTATTTGACCCTCTAGGATAAAACAAAAAAATCTTTCATTCTGCCAAATTAAACTAAAATATAAACTTGCCTTAAAAGTGAATATTTTTCTTTTGGATCAATACGTCTTTGTGTAATCTAAGGAATCTATAAACATTACTAAATTTTGAATTTTGAATTTCATAATATTTGCAACTGAAGAGAAACTGTCAAAATCAGTTATCACTTAAATTATATACCTCTCTGTAGAATATATCTTGTGGTGTTAAACTCTGCATTGAGTCAAAGTCTCCTCGTTTTTCCAGAACTCTTTTAATTGCTGCATCAACTAATGCTGTGTATCTGTATATAAGAATATTCACTGATAAATTGATGCATAAAAACATAAATATCTTTTTATTTGAAAAATGATTCACTTCCATGTTTGAACCTGATTATACCTGGAAAGGATGATTTAAGTAACTTAGATATACTATCTACATATTAATCTAAGAGCTGAATATGAAAAAGCCTCAAATAATTAGATAATTCACTGTATGCCTAATTTCAAAGATTGTAATTGATGATATTGAATGAAACGTTTTGATTTTTATATAGGCACAATATATTGGTCCTATCTTTTTTTGTGTTTTATTCATGCTTTTAAGATTTCAAAGAATACACTTTAATAATTTATATACCTTCCCACCACCCCAAACGAATAACAACCAATAATTTTAAGTATGCCCTTACAATTCTACCTAGATATATTAACTAATAATTTTAAATTTGAACATACGTTGAATGTTGAGTTCTAAGTGCTATGGCTGCTTGTATCTTCTCAGCATGTTCACATAATGCATTTCTAGTTAACATTTTGGTATCTCTACTTTGCACTTCTTTTAACTGGAAAAGTCAATTATTTTGATATGAGAAATATTACACTGTTAAGTTAAGCCTATGAAGGGTTTAATTAATACTGTTTATAAACACAGTGTAATATAAAATTATAAAGTTCATCCCATTCTCCCAAAAAGTGTTATACTAAGAGCTTCTCATATGATAGTGCTATTGATAACAGTTCATCATTCAAATTTAATTAAAAAATTCGGAAAAAAACAACGTGCATGCAGTTTTGAGCAATTAACAATAAAAAATTCAGAAAAAAACAACTTGCATACAGTGATGAGCAATTAACAATTAGGTACAGTGTCGTCTTACATAGACATATATAAACCATTTAAAATGGGTATGAATATCAGGGAAAACTTTCTGACATTACTAACAACTTACTTTATCCCATAATCCAACTTTCTTCAGAAAGTTAATAATATAATCATGTGCCTTCACTTTATCATTAAGCTGATTCAAAATGATGAGGGAGGTTGTCCTACTGCTGGGATCTAAAATATATTACAGACATATATATATACATTACATGTATTAGAAACAAGAGCTAGTAAAATGTATATAAGTCATAAATACATAGCACAAGTATTACCTATACATTTCTTATAAAATAAAGAATTTCATAAAAACTAAAACTTCACCTGAAACCATTTCTCATTAGTTTAACAGAAAAATTACTATCAACAGGTGACAAAAAAAAACCCACCACAATTTAAAAAAAATAATGAGCAGTAAATCTCAATCTGGCAAAATCACAATTCATCTGTAGTTTTAAAGTCCATGATACTACATTTAGATTAAAAAAGTACAGTCAAATAGTACTACAGTTATCACTAGTCAAACACCAGCCTATTTTTAATATAGCAAGAACGCATATGTTGTCATGCCAAGTATAACTCCACTTATTTTTCAAAGTATTTAAAACAGGAAGTAGGTGTCTGACAGATCTGAAAGGTGCTGACAAGATACAACTCATCACTGCCAAGCTGCACTATAGCGGGGGTATACTAAGATATGATACTCATCTTATAACTGATTAACTGATGACATTGTCTTTTTTCAGTCTTGTAATGATTAGAAATTGTGACAATCATCAATAAAATGTATTACCAACCTTGCCTAGATTCTGCCCAGCGTGGATCAGAAGCTGGATAATCATCTATTAAATCTTTGCTAAGAGAAGTAACAACCTGGTCTATGTCTGAATTGACATGATCTCCTACAGGAAATAATTCATCAACACTAGCTTGAGCTTGCCTCTGAAATACATATCATAAATAGGTACCTTAGTGTAAGGGCTGATCAATTTGATACAAGGTGGCTGAGCAAGTAACATTTATAATAACTTTATCGTCCAAGGTTACATTACTTTGGATTCATTATAATGCATTCTATACTAAGTTTCACATATTTTGTTAATACATCTGAACCACAAATTTGTGTGTTCAACAAAATACAAATTTCTCAAGAGTCTTTTGCTATCCATGAAAATATCATTTTGGCTCAATCCATGAAACTCGGTACCCATCAAAATAAATTCATCCGCAGTAATTAGTCAGGTTTGTTTGAATGCTGACTTATGAATCAAGTATATTTTCTGGAAGTTTATCACTCTTAATTATTAAATGAGTCTATTTCTTACCAATACAGTAAATACAATCAGTTTATTAACCTTGTAACATAAGTGCCGTTCAGTTTTTCCAGACATGAATAAGAGGAAATGTTGGTCAAATGTCAATCAGATGGCAACAAGTAATACAAGTTACTCAAATACATTGTAATTATCTACATAATATAAAATAAGACTTTTATAAACAGTTAACACCATATCCTTCCTTTCTCCTTTAAAATATAACAATACTTTAATTTTCATTCTTTCCTTTCTCCTTTAAAATTATAACAATACTTTAATTTTCATTCCATCTAAAAAGTAGTATGTCAAAATTGATCTAATAATATGACTTCAGCCTGCTTATCTTACCATGTTTCCTTTCATTGCTGCTAAGAATGCACCCTTTAATCTAGAAATTTTATCATCACTCATGCTTAGTTCTTGTATCTGTGATGAACTGGCTGCTAGTACAGACTACAATAGAGAGATTAAAATTATCAATATGATTTTTTCATACTAGAACAAATATGTACGTATAGAAGACATGATTTGCCCCCAAAAATCACAAAATTTACAAAGTAAATTTACAAATTTTTAAAACCTTTCGAAGGAATACAATAAAATTTGACCAATGCAGTGAAAAAGGCTAATATGGTGCCAAGGTACACGTCACATTTTGACCATGCATTGTTGTTAAGATTACATAATGAGCAACAGCCTAACCAGCAATGACATCCAAATAAAATCAACATTTTTTTGAAAGACTGTATTGCTGTCCTGACCAAACCAAATGCTCGTCTATATCTATCAATGAAATCAACTTATGTAAGTCCTTCACACCTACATTGTACTTATAGTCTACTTACAATGTGAAAGATAGAGAGATCAACATAAAGTTAGCATAATTTTAAAGTCCAACAAGTTGATAAACCACATGCATACATAAAGTCTAACAAGAATATTAAGAAATGATGTCCAGATATCTTATTCATACACAAAAGGGGTGTACATATAGACTTATTATCTAACTTGCAAAGTACTTGCCATATCTGCTCGAGTAACATCATAATTTGTCTCTTCTACTAGCCTGAAAATTGTAAATATACAGATTTAATCTCATGTTTAAAAATTCCCCTTCTTACAAGACCCCTCTCACTAGAGACCCTGAATACAAGGCCAATCCACTAATTTCTATACAAGTATTTGCTTATTAAATTTTCTTTTTTAACAAGAGGCCATCCTTTTTTAAAATTAATTTTATAACATAAGGGTTGGTCTTGTCAGAGAAGAACTTCTACACATAAAATATCAGTTTCTAAAGCTAAAAAAAATAAAAATCTAAATTAAAAAAAACTTATTATGTTACAGATTTGAAACTTTGAAAAGCCTTAAATACTTGAATTTAAAATAAAATACTACTCCTTTGTTCATTCACAGTTTTTGGTTACTTGAGATTTATTTAACATTTAGATATTATAAGCTGCAAACAATAACTTTATTTGGACAAAATAATGTAACATTGAAAATAATACATAAATAAATAAAAATTCATGTTTTCTACATTCTGCTTTTTGGTAGCATGTAATTGTTTATTGTATTCAATTAACAATATAAAAATATATATAATGTTACCCCATATCCTGTTTCTGTGTCATAGATATTGTAAATAAACCAACACTGCTGGAGAAAAATATTGCACACTTGTCACAGCAACCTACAAAAATCAAAATAAATTTGAAGTATTTATTTCATATAACTGAACAAAATAGTTTGCAATATTAATACTTTATAAAATTCAACTAAGGTATCATAACCAAGCATATTTCTACATTACAGCATTATTTGAGAAGAATTTTCAGATTTAATGCATTAAAAGTAAATAAACAAATATCTTCCATGCCGGACAGTGTATAAATTTATATTAGCAGCAAATTTCATTGAGATTACAGGTGCTTAAATTTGATTTTCTCAAAACTGTATAAATAAATCTAGCTGGTAACATTGAACTTGACTTATGTCTATTAAGATTTACTGTGCTAACCTGCTCCTAATACATGTCCTCCTGGAGCCTGGATATCCACTATTTCTGTTTCACCTGTAATATAAAGATATCTGTCTAAATTGACCTGTACTTTGGACTTACAATAGTTGAAATCCTGTATTTTGGAGATAAAATATAGATTTCTTTCCTATTGAAAATAGAAAATAATACAACCCATACATGCATTTTAATTGCTGTTGTGAAATTCAGTATTGAGACATTTTCAGATTTTTGGCTTTCAGCATAGGGTTCAAAGGTCAAGGTCAAGGTTAGCAGATTTAAGTATTTGACACATCCTTATACCATGATGGTGACCAGACTTTGATATATGACACACCCGAATCCCATTATGCATCAGCATACCAAGTTTGGTCAACCTAAGTTCTACGGTACAAAAGGTATGCACAAGACACAAATCCAATAAGGTTTTACTATCATAGGGGTTAATATCATACGTGGTACATATAAAACACGTTTTTTTACTGTATACATATCATACGTGGTACATATATAATACATACATAAAAAATGCTTTCTTTACTGTATACATATCATACCTTGTACCTATAAAACTCTTTCTTTATTGTATACATATCATACCTGGTACACATAAAACTCTTTATTTATTGTATACATATCATACCTGGTACACATAAAACTCTTTCTTTATTGTATACATATCATACCTGGTACACATAAAACTCTTTCTTTATTGTATACATATCATACCTGGTACATATAACACTCTTTCTTTATTGTATACATATCCACAATAAGTCTGTGTATCTGGTACGACCAATTTAAAATTCTGAAGTTGATATTCTAATTCATCCTGGAAACACAAATTTTATGGCATTGATGAAACATCTATTTATCTTATTTTCAAATTCATAAAAAACAGTTTTACTCTTTGTCATTTAAGATTTAAGAGTAGTTTCCCAAAGCAAAGATAATTTCAAAGTGTAGCATCCCAACTTGGTTTGGTAAATAACCTGCATACTTGCTAGTTAGGATTATTTATAAATTCTCCATAAACAATATTCTCACACAGATACATCATTGTAAGTCACTTAGCATCTGATACTAGAACTTAGATATAAAACTTAGCTCAAGAGAAATAAAAATCTGTTAACTTACATCAAAACTGTCTTGGTAGTCCAAAAGAACTAACTTCTCTAGAGCTGATGGTGTTCCTCCTATATCTGTGTCAATGAAAGCTGAAATCATACAAAAAAGCTTGTAAGTTACTTATTTCTTCTTGAAATAGATATGAGAAATGAGAAGAGCAGTGTGCTAAAATTCAGAAATGTTGTATGTCTTTGTGGATACAGGATTTAAACTGGAGGTTTATCATAATCATGTTCTTGTTTGCAAAAATAGGTGTTTTTAATTCTAGGAAGAGTTGGAAAAATATAGGAAAATACAGATTTCAAAAATATTTTGCCAGTTGTGTTTATTTTTCTCCTGAATTACACCAAACCCAAAGTCCTTAATTTAACTGCCATAAATTCAAAATCATAATTCTTACCTAGAGCATAATTAACAGTAAGCGAAACATCCATATTCACTGCTGCACCAAATATAACAACTCCAGTACTGCAAAGAAATGTTTGATGTTCTATTTTTAGAAATTTACCTGTGACGTCACTTTTTGTGGCGTTGATACATTTGTGTGATGCACAGTTCATAATTCTATTGTGGTGTACGGGTGTACTGTCGTATGGGAGGTGTCCGTTGTTATTCTGTGGTTTACATGTTGTAATGTACTATTATATTATTTATGTATTTATCTGTCCTGAGTGTTCTTGCGTTAATTTGTACTGTATTGTCATGTAATGTTGTCATTTTTGCGGTATTTTTAACATTGTCATATAAGCAGGAGGTTTGGCTAGCCATAAAACCAGGTTCAACCCACCATTTTTTCTTAAAATGTCCTGTACAAAGTCAGGAATATGACAGTTGTTATCAAATAATCAGTTTCTATGTATGTTGGCATTTGTTTTTGTAGCAGTTAAGTGTTTCTGTTGTTCCGTTGTTTTCCTCTTATAGTTGATGTGTTTCCCTCGGTTTTGGTTTGTGACCCGGATTTGTTTTCGCTTATTCGACTTATGACTATTGAAGGGGTATACTACTGTTGGCTTTATTTATAATAGCTGTCACAATTCTAATTGATTGATTTCTGGTTGCTTAATGTCAAGTGGCAAATATTTGATACATATAAACGGTATGTTTTTTGTTTGATATCAAACAGTCTCCCAGTTGTTTAGTTCGTAAATGACACATATAGCAGTAATTACGATCTTAATTTAAATAAATTATGTAATGTAGATAAAAAAAAATAATCATTAATCAAAATTAAGCATATTGTTGATAACAAAATCTTTAAAAGAACATCTAGTAAAAAGAAAAAAAAATCTATTTTAAACTTATTTATGCTACTTCAAGATTTATTCTTTCATTGAAATATCTTCAGACTTGTTAAAAGTAAAATTGAGATATAAGTTTAAGTTTCTAACACAATTAGTATACCTGGTGGACTGCATGTCTATCAACCAAGATCTCAACTGAGTCAGATGTTTGGAATCTTGATCCTAAAAAAGATCACAAACAAAACTGTAATAATTAGAAATTTCATTAATCCAATTTTTCCATGAAAAGTTCAACGGTAAATTGTTGACCAGACTCGGGCAATTCAGGGATTGACTTAAGGTTTGAAATCTGTTGATTGTTGAAGGTTATTTGTTGACATTTAGATGTCTTTTGCTGTTTAGTTGATGTCTCTTTGATGTACATCTATTCTTATTTATATCAAAGTACATTTTTTCATATTAAATGGAAAAGATTTCTAAAAACATGTCATATTGAACCTATTTTTTTAAATACACATGTAGTGAAATCCACCATGCCTTTTTAGCCATGGTATACAATAGTGCTATTTTTTTTAACCTGAATGCTGTTATTTCTACCCCAGTGCTAATATTTCCAAAACTTCATCAATTAATAATTATATAACATAGGTGTTACATAAGAAGGATTTCTTCATTATGATTGGTGGACAAGTACATGGTAATTTAAAGTGTTGTTTAGATCACACCCAGTTTTTGGTGGGGTTCGTGTTGCTCAGTCTTAAGTTTTCTATGTTGTGTTTTGTGTACTTTTTTTGGTCTGTTTGTCTGTTTCTTTTTTAGCCATGGTGTTGTCAGTTTATTTTGACTTATGAGTTTGAATGTCCCTTTGATATCTTTTGCCTCTCTTGTTTAATATCCCATTAAAATGCAACATCCAAAACTGCATGTGCAGTGACTTATGTTTTTTTGGTTTTATTATGATGTTTGAACTGAACACCATTTGGTGACCTATGTTTTTTGGTTTTATTATGATGTTCGGACTGAAGACCATTTAGTAACGTTTGAACTGACGACCATTGTGTGACCTGTTTTGGGGTTTTATTATGATGTTTGGACTGAAGAGTATTTGGTGACTATGTTTTATGGTTTTATTATGATGTTTGGACTGAAGACCATTTTGTGACCTATGTTTTTGGGTTTTATTATTATGTTTGGACTGAAGACCATTTGGTGACTATGTTTTATGGTTTTATTATGATGTTTGGACTGAAGACCATTTGTTGACTATGTTTTATGGTTTTATTATGATGTTTGGACTGAAGACCATTTGGTGACTGTTTTATGGTTTTATTATGAAGTTTGGACTGAAGACCATTTGGTGACTATGTTTTATGGTTTTATTATGATGTTTGGACTGAAGACCATTTGGTGACTGTGTTTTATGGTTTTATTATGATGTTTGGACTGAAGACCATTTGGTGACTGTATTATGGTTTTATTATGAAGTTTGGACTGAAGACCATTTGGTTACCTATGTTTTTTTTGGGTTTTATTATGATGTTTGGACTGAAGACCATTTGATGACTATGTTTTATGGTTTTATTATGATGTTTGGACTGAAGACCATTTGGTGACTGTTTTATGGTTTTATTATGAAGTTTGGACTGAAGACCATTTGGTTACCTATGTTTTTTTTTGGTTTTATTATGATGTTTGGACAAGACCATTTGGTGACCTATGTTTTTATAAGGATGTTTGGACTGAAGACCATTTGGTGACCTATGTTTTTTTGGTTTTATTAGGATGTTTGGACTGAAGACCATTTGGTGACCCTTGTTTTTTTGGTTTTATTATGATGTTTGGACTGAAGACCATTTGGTGACCTATGTTTTTATTATGATGTTTGGACTGAAGACCATTGGGTGACTATGTTTTATTGTTTTATTATGATGTTTGGACTGAAGACCATTTGGTGACCTATGTTTTTTTTGGTTTTATTAGGATGTTTGAACTGAAGACCATTTGGTGACTATGTTTTATGGTTTTATTAGGATGTTTGGACTGAAGACCATTTGGTGACTGTCTCACTGAGGTTCACTTAACCTTTCTTTTACCAATAGCAGACTAAAACTATAAATAAGTGAAATTCTAAACACTTGTAGCTGTTTATTTCAGATTGGAATAACTTAAAGATATATAAATTTACCCTGTCTATACAATCTTACCCAAAGTTTCCTTGCAATACTCTCCCTAAACATTCTGTCTGCATCTACTTGATAAAACAGCTGAAAAAAATATTTTCAATATAATAACAAAAGCTCAATCTTTCAAAACTACAATGAAATATTGAAAACATGTATGGCCCAGGTGATAATTTTCAAAGCATGAGCATTTCATCTGATGAAAAGTGAACATAAAACAAAATCTGAACTCAGATAACTTTTTAACTCTGTTTAAATTTTATAGAAACTGATATAACCTAAAGGTAAAACACATAACAAAGGGAGAGATAAATACCAAAAGAGACAAGTTTATTTGTTGGTGCTTTTTAAAATCAGAAATGGTGATTTTTATCTTTATTTTTAAATATGATAAAATACAAACTTCTGAAATCTTTGTAGATCCAAATCCAAAAGTGCCATACCTCATTATCAGAATCCTTCCATGTCTGTCAATATGAATAAGTGCAAGTAATGAACCCACATCTCTTAAATAATACACTCTTCCACTTGGAAAGACTTGCAAGATATAAACAAAAACCCTGAACTCAATCTAACCTATGATTCCTTTCAGTACTTTCCTTAAACATCTGTATTGTATCACTCCTGTAACTCTTGTTACTTAAAATATACAGGGGATTTCTTTATTTCAACAAAACATTTTGTAGGAAAATAAAGCCTATTTTTATGACTTATTATAAGACAACACATGTGGTGGATATTTACCAGCTTTTAACTGCCTTCCCCAACCTCTCCTACAATACATTCTCTCAGTGTAGAAAGGTGCCAGAACATATGTAAAGTAAGTGTGTTTACCTTTTCTGTTATACCTTCACCTACAGTCCACTTTTGCAATTGTGTACCAGATAATACATAGAATGGAAAATCATCATCATCTTCTGTTAGGCCAACACTAATAGCTTGTAATGGCTGAAAAATAAGATAAAGAGTAGATAAATCAATGCATTACTTTTTTTCTGCAGTTATTTCAACTAGAGGCTCTAAAGAGCCTGTGTCGCTAACCTTGGTCTATGTGCATATTAAACAAAGGACACAGATGGATTCATGACAAAATTGTGTTTTGGTGATGGTGATGTGTTTGTAGATCTTACTTTACTGAACATTCTTGCTCCTTACTATTATCTCTATCTATAATGAACTTGGCCCGGTAGTTACAGTGGAAAATATTTTGTAAAAATTTACAAAAATTTACAAAATTTATGAAAATTGTAAAAAATTGAAAATATAAAGGGCAATAACTCCTTAAAAGGTCAACTGACAATTTTGGTCATGTTGACTTATTTGTAGATCTAACCTTGCTGTACATTATTGCTGTTTACAGTTTATCTCTATCTATAATAATATTCAAGATAATAACCAAAAGCTGCAAAATTTTCTTAAAATTACCAATTCAGGGGCAGCAACCCAACAACGTGTTGCCTGATTGGTCTGAAAATTTCAGGGCAGATAGATCTTGACCTAATGAACAATTTTATTCTCATCAGATTTGCTCTAAATGCTTTGGTTTCAGAGATATGAGCCAAAAACTGCATTTTACCCTATGTACTATTTTTTAGCCATGTCGGCCATCTTGGTTCGCGGGCGGGGTCATCGGACACATTTTTAAAACTAGATACCCTAATGATGATTGTGGACAAGTTTGGTTAAATGTGTCTAAGTAGTTTCAGAGGAGAAGATTTTTGTAAAAAATTACAAAAATTTACGAAAAATGGTTAAAAATTGACTATAAAGGGCAATAACTCCTTAAGGGGTCAACTGACCATTTTGGTCAAGTTGACTTATTTGTAGATCTTACTTTGCTGAACATTATTGCTGTTTACAGTTTACCTCTATCTATAATAATATTCAAGATAATAACCAAAAACGGCAAAATTTCCTTAAAATTACCAATTCAGGGGCAGCAACCCAACAACAGGTTGTCCGATTCATCTGAAAATATCAGGGCAGATAGATCTTGACCTAATGAACAATTTTATTCTCCTCAGATTTGCTCTGAATGCTTTGGTTTCAGAGATATGAGTCAAAAACTGCATTTTACCCTATGTACTATTTTTTACCCATGTCGGCCATCTTGGTTCGCGGGCGGGGTCATCGGACACATTTTTAAAACTAGATACCCTAATAATGATTGTGGACAAGTTTGGTTAAATTTGTCTTAGTAGTTTCAGAGGAGAAGATTTTTGTAAAAGATTACAAAAATTTACGAAAAATGGTTAAAAATTGATTATAAAGGGCAATAACTCCTTAAGGGGTCAACTGACCATTTTGGTCAAGTTGACTTATTTGTAGATCTTACTTTGCTGAACATTATTGCTGTTTACAGTATATCTCTATCTATAATAATATTCAAGATAATAACCAAAAACGGCAAAATTTCCTTAAAATTACCAATTCAGGGGCAGCAACCCAACAACGGGTTGTCCAATTCATCTGAAAATTTCAGGGCAGATAGATCTTGACCTGATAAACAATTTTACCCATGTCAGATTTGCTCTAAATGCTTTGGTTTCAGAGATATAAGCCAAAATCTACATTTTACCCCTATGTTTTTAGCCATGGCGGCCATCTTGGTTGGTTGGCCGGGTCACCGGACACATTTTTTAAACTAGATAACCCAATGATGATTGTGGCCAAGTTTGGTCAAATTTGGCCCAGTAGTTTCAGAGGAGAAGATTTTTGTAAAAGTTAACGACGACGGACGACGACGACGGACGCCAAGTGATGAGAAAAGCTCACTTGGCCCTCTGGGCCAGGTGAGCTAAAAATGGTTCAATAACATATGGAGGAGCTTCTAACCTCACATGGCATCTATGAAAAATTAAAATTAAAGTAAATATTCAAGTAAACTAACAAAGGGTACATGAAAAGCATTCTTTTCAATACTTCTGGAGATATGTGTGGCAAAGTTTTTAAAGTTCATTCAACATATTAAAAATTTTTAAATATTTGCAAACAGGAAGAGGGTGTCTGACAGATCCCAAAAATGCATACATATTACAACTGATCCCTGTCAAGTTGTTGTCTAAATATCAAGTTATTCTATGAAGTAGAAGCTAAGAAAAGCGTGACAGAAATATTTGTTTGACATTCTGACATCAAAAAAATGTTGAAAAACTTACTACTTTACACATAGATTTTGGTGAGATCAATTACGAGCCAAGGTTTTACCCAAAAAGATATTTTACCCATATTAAAATCTTTGTATACTGTGAATTAATAACATTTCATTGGATAAAAATTTCTTTGATTTGGTTAGTAAAGGTGAATGATGAATTTGAATGTTCAATGTTTATTATAAGGTTGTATGCAGATTTTGGCAAAACCATGAAATCAAATATTCACAAAAATGGGGGCTTCCCTCTATCCATGAAAATTAGAACACACAAAAATAAATGCATCCACAGTAAGACATCTTGTATCCCTTTTGGTTAGCCTGTGGCTCATATCTAAATATTAGTAACAAGATGTCAAAATTAGACTAACACGGCAGTTTTTGAGTTTTTTAATCAAATGCAAGAAGTTCGAAGCCCTAATGAAATTACCTAGTGCACAATTCAGAAATATAAATACTAATGTCTTATACCAATCTGAAGGATGTTATTTGAAAGATTTGGAATACTTTTTGATTATAGAATTCAAGGGGCCAAAAAGGTGGCCCTTTCATACCTTCACCTTTTGCCTCAACAACTCAGTTGGAGTGGGATAAAAAGCATTTTAAACTTACTGCCCCTGTAGGCTGGAGTGGTGAAGCACCAAAAATGAATGATGACATTCTTCTTCCTATACCAGAAAACATTCCTTGTGATGACTTCAGTAGATGACATGTTAATGTGTTCTGTTGAAATATAATTGTACTTAAATAAACAGATGTAAAGAAAAATACTTATAAAAACTAAATGCAAGCATAAAAAAAAAATATTTACTTGTCATTTTAGGGCCTTTATCATGTTTATAGCTGACTATGCGGTCCAGGCTTTGCTCTTTGTTGAAGGCCGTACAGTGACCTATAGTTGTTAATTTCTGTGTCATTTGGTCTCTTGTGGAGAGTTGTCTCATTGGCAATCATACCACATCTTCTTTTTTATATTAAACATAAAAAAAAACAAATAGTAAAAAATGAGTGATCATAAGAGAGCAAAGGTTTCTATTACTGTCAAATTTTTCTTTTTCATGAAAACAGTAGGGTGAGTAAAACTTTTTACCATGCATGTGTGAATATATCTACATGCTTTTGCTCTTCAGTTTCATATAAACTCTCAATAACACCCAATAAAAACATTCTGAAAACAAGAATAATACAATTGAAGGTATTTTCTTATATTTGGAATATCAATTACAAATTTAAAAGATAAATAAAACATACCTTGTTTGTTGCTATATTAAGTAGTACAAGAGAACTTGTAGTTGTTGCTAACAAGCATCCAAAAGGCTGAAACAATGAAAAAGGTATATTTACAACAAACAATAATTCTTATCACCATATTTACAGCAGATATTCATACAGATACTGATTATTTAATTGGCAGCAAGAGGACTCTTTGGATTCCTTTACATGTTTCAAATCAATGTATGTGTAAGCAAAGAATACAACTGAAGCCTGCCTCGGGGTGCAGGATTTTCTCGCTGTATTGAAGACCCATTGGTGGCCTTGGGCTGTTTTCTGCTCTTTTGTCGTGTTGTTGTCTCTTTGACACATTCCCCATTTCCATTCTCTCCATTAATCAACAACATTTTTTACATTTTGCTTGTATTCTTGGAGAAAACAACTAATGTTTAAAGAAAATTGAAATTTCATCTATTTGAAAAAGTACATGAAGTTGACATTAGATATTGTAAATATGCATAACTAATAGTAATATGAAAAAATAAAATATATTCCTCTAATACTTAATATTAAACTTTTATAAATATTTTATGAGTTATCTACTTAGCTTTGAAATCAACATTTTCTTTATGCAAATCTTACTTATATAGCCTACAACTGAATTAGAATGCATTCTGTTCAGTTGTTACAGAGAAAAGTGTGACAGAAACATTTGTTAGACAAACAGACAATGGGACAGACAGACAAGGTGATTCACCATTTTGATAATATATTTCAATCACAAGCTGAAGTTTGATGACCAAATTTTGAAACATTCCTTACAACAGATACAAGATTAATCTTTAATTCTGGAAACTTACAGGTAAACAGACAACACACTGACATTCTTCTCCTCTAAGTTCAGCACTTATTTCCACAGATGATCCTTCATTTGCAATGTTAGGCCAGTATCTGACTATACCTTCTGGTGAAACAGCTATACAGGAGGCAGACTGGTGGTCTGAATTGTTGGGAATAACACATACTCTGTCAGAATTGTGGGCTAAATCACTTGGTGGTAATGTTAACTCTTTACAAAATACACTCTGAAAATAACACAAATACATGTACCTTAATAATCTTTGAAATTTTCCAAATTGTCATGTGTCACTCAATTTCTAAAAACTGAAATATATACTTTTTCAAGATTTTACCTGACCAATTCTCATAATTCAATTATCATGATTTTTACCACAATCATTTTAGAAGGGTGTTTTAAATTTAGATCATTATCTTGAGATTCAATGATTGTTGGAACATTATGGAAACACTATTCTATTAATGGAAAACATCTGATTACAATTGTTAGGATACTTTTTCCTCATCTATGCAAGTTTTTTGGGGTGTAAGTATAGATCAGTTCAAAATATTTCACTGCCATCTGGCGTCAGGTTATAATTTGTTGAAGAAGTCCTAAATGTATTATATGTCATTAGCTGAATCTTCTTTTACAGAGACAAATATCTTTGCCAAGTCCTATTTACAGTTGTCTGTGGTACATGCAAATTCTGGAACACATCAATATCTATATATATTGTATTTCTTAAATATTGATTAAATTTGTCAACATGTCTGCCTTTATGACAAATATGTAAACTGTATTTATAAGCTTAAAAGCCTTGTAAAATAATTACCCTTGCATGTTGTACTTGTTTATATCTCCATATAAATAGCTTTCTACCTCCAACTAACCATGCCCATCCTGATGAGTTGATACTAACACTGATTTCTGTATTCCCTGAAAACACCACAAAATGTACTCAATGATATTTGTATTCCCTGAAAACACCACAAAATGTACTCAATTATATTTGTATTCCCTGAAAACACCACAAAATGTACTCAATGATATTTGTATTCCCTGAAAACACCACAAAATGTACTCAATGACATTTGTATCAATACATTGTATAATTTATATAGGCATTCATTTCAAATTAAAATTTTCTTGCTTTCCTCTGAATTTCCTATTGCGACGGCATGAAAAAAGGCGACCATGCCTGATGACGTCACATAGAAAGAACACATTTTTTTGCAGATCATTCGAAAAGAAGGAATAAATTTGCCTGCGTATTGTTTGAAAATCATTAGAGAAACAGATTCCACCACCAAATCTCGTGTAATACGACATTTATCAACTCTCGACAGTTAAATTTTAAATATTTAAAACGCTCGGCGAGCCTCACATTTTAAATTTGAAAATTTAACTGTCTCGAGTGGATAAATATTGTATCACACTCAATGCAGTGGTAGAATCTATATATATATATATATATAATAACTTTTTTAATATAAGCCAACACTTGTCAAGGAGTCATTAGTACCTTCTGTTTCATTGCTATAAGATTTCTTACAAACTGTGAATGTGTATGCAATTTCTACATTTATAGTATTGTTGTCAAGTCAGCCTATTCATTAACTGTAGAATTAATGCTTCTAAATCATATCAATGAAATTAAGATAACTTATAACAATTCAAATGTTAACTTTGTTCTCTAGTTTAAATCAACTAATTCATCAATTTCTCTTCAATTTTTGTTAAGCATTCAAAACTTTACTGCAATAAAAATGATATTTTCAGTATGGATCATTATGAGACCAAATTTTGTATTTTTAACCGATTATTGTGTTGTCGATTAACTATTAAAGAAAGATGTTTGTAAACCCTTTCATTACATTAAAATAAAGAGATGAGGTGTACATTGTAATTGTCAATAAAACAAATATCCACCAGAGACCAAAGTTCACTGATGTAAACAACTACAGGACACCTTAAAGTATATGCTTCATTTCCTTAAAATATGTAAAACATAGTTACGGGATAGGGTCAGGGTAATACCATTTCTAGTGCATAATTCTAAAATTGAAGTCTTAACCTAGAGGTAGATAATTTTCTGTTGATCTCCAGTTTAAAAATGAAAATGGATGAGTGATATGAAAGGGTAATTCAATTCAGTATGATAATTGTAATAAAGGGCTCTCTATCATGCCAAATATCTCTTGTGTTTTGAATCTGTTGTTGTACTGAAATATGTAGTTGTTATACATCCTTGTCCTTTTGTCTTTGGCAAATACATCATACATGTAGTTGACTGTTGTCTGGTTTGCATATATACCTAATCTCTTTATTTCAATTCTGTTAAAAAATGACGCTACCCAAATTTGAACTTGATCTGAGTTTTGTGGTAATAAGCATTGTGTGCAAGTCTCATAACATTTGGTTGAGGCTAACTTAAGTAGAGAACAGAATCTAAAAATTCAGCAATTTTTCTATTTGGAAAGGGGCATAACTCTAGATTGGTTGTATATAAGTTTTATTACATTTGGTTGAGACAAACTAAAGTTAGAGAACGGAAATGAAAAATTCAGCAATTTTTTTGTTTATAAAGGGATAAAACTCAAGAATGGTAAGAGTGTCGCCACCAAATTTCGTACTTAATCTGTATTATGTAGTAATAAGCAATGTGTATAAGTTTCATAACATTTGGTTGAGGCAAACTAAAGTTAGAAAACGGAAACAAAAAATTTGTACTTGATCTTAGTTTTGTGGTAATGAATATTGTGTATAGGTTTCATAATGTTTGGTTGGGGCAAACTTAAGTTACAGAATGGAAACTAAAAATTTTGCACTCTTTTGATTTATAAAGGGGCATAACTCAATAATGGTTAAAGTGACACTACCCAAATTCAACTTGATCTGTGTTTTAACAGTGGAAGTCAAAATTAAAAATTGCATTGTATAAAGCATTGTTGTAGTTGATTCAACTATAATCATGGACAAAGGAATATAACTCCAATTTTAAATTTACTTGATATTTAGAAGAAAATAAAAATTTTGCAATTTTTCCATTTATAAAGGGGCATAACTCTATAACGGTTAAGTGACGCCACCAAAATTCAATCTTGATCTGTGTTTTGTGGTAATAAGCATTGTGTATAAATTTCATAACATTTGGTTGATGCAAACTTAAGTTAGAGAACGGAAACTTAAAATTTTTGCACTTTTTCCATTTGTAAAGGGGCATAACTCTAGAACGGTTAAAGTGACGCCACCAAAATTCAATCTTGATCTGTGTTTTGTGGTAATAAGCATTGTGTATAAGTTTCATAACATTTGGTTGAGGCAAACTTAAGTGAGAGAACGGAAACTTAAACTTTTGCAATTTTTCCATTTATAAAGGGGCATAACTCTAGAAACCTTAAAGTGACGCCACCAAAATTCAAACTTGATCTGTGTTTTGTGGTAATAAGCATTGTGTATAAGTTTCATAACATTTGGTTGAGTCAAACTTAAGTTAGAGAACGGAAACTTAAAAATTTTGCACTTTTTCCATTTGTAAAGGGGCATAACTCTAGAACGGTTAAAGTGACACCACCAAAATTCAACCTTGATCTGTGTTTTGTGGTAATAAGCATTGTGTATAAGTTTCATAACATTTGGTTCAGGCAAACTCAAGTTAAAGAACGGAAACCAATTTTGGGACGTACGTACAGACTGACAAGGGTAAAACTTAATGCCCCCACCGCTACGGCGGAGGCATAAAAATATGCATACCAAACGAATTCACAGATATTGGGTGGATCCCCTTAGTTAAATGTATATATTTCAATCCAAATGCCTTGTTTTATTTTATAGATTAAATTTAAATTGCTTAAAGTTAAATACTTTATACTATGAATTTTTTTTTACTGAGAAGCATTCAAATTTTGATACAGCTATGTATTTAAAATTGTAATGTGAATGATACCATTGAAATTTAAAATTTTTAGTGTCATATTTGGTAAATGTTGTAATTATAAGACAATTGAAAATAAGTTTAATCTGAATCTGGATTCTTTTGATTCACTGTTTTAATTGCTTAATAAAATACAAGAGTGCACACGCTGAAATGTCTCGCCTCTTTACTAATCATTGATATTATGTTGATAGTCCTAAATATAAAGCTTTATTACAACTGTCACATAAACTTAACATTAACCAAGTAAACTAAACATTGACCAATGAACCATGAAAATGAGGTCAAGGTCAGATGAACCATGCTGGTCAGGCATGTACAGCTAACAATTCTTCCATACAACAAATATGGTTGACCTATTGCTTATAGTTTAAGAAAAACAGTCCAAAACACAAAAACTTAACACTGAGCAATGAACCTTGAAAATGAGGTCAAGGTCAAATAAAACCTGTGTGACTGACATATAGATCATAAAATATTTCCATACACCAAATGTAGTTGAACTATTGCATATAGTATTAGAAAAAAAGATCAAATCTCAAAAACTTAACTTTGACCACTGAACCATGAAAATGAGGTCAAGGTCAGATGACACCTGCCAGCTAGACATGTACACCTTACAATCATTCCATACACCAAATATAGTAGACCTATTGCATGCAGTATTAGAAAAAAAGACCAAAACTCAAAAACTTAACTTTGACCACTGAACCATGAAAATGAGGTCAAGGTCAGATGACACCTGCCAGCTAGACATGTACACCTTACAATCATTCCATACACCAAATATTGTTGACCTATTGCATACAGTATAAGAAAAACAGAACAAAACACAAAAACTCAACTATAACCACTGAACCATGAAAATGAGGTCAAGGTCAGATGACACCTGCCAGCTAGACATGTACACCTTACAATCCTTCGATACACCAAATATTGTAGACCTATTGCATACAGTATAAGAAAAACAGACCAAAACACAAAAACTCAACTATAACCACTGAACCATGAAAATGAGGTCAAGGTCAGATGACACCTGCCAGCTAGACATGTACACCTTACAATCCTTCCATACACCAAATATAGTAGACCTATTGCATACAGTATAAGAAAAACAGACCAAAACACAAAAACTCAACTATAACCACTGAACCATGAAAATGAGGTCAAGATCAGATGACACCTGCCAGTTGGACATGTACACCTTACAGTCCTTCCATACACCGAATATACTAGACCTATTGCTTATAGTATCTGAGATATGGACTTGACCACGAAAACTTAACCTTGTTCACTGATCCATGAAATGAGGTCGAGGTCAAGTGAAAACTGTCTGACGGGCATGAGGACCTTGCAAGGTACGCACATACCAAATATAGTTATCCTATTACTTATAATAAGAGAGAATTTAACATTACAAAAAATCTTAACTTTTTTTTCAAGTAGTCACTGAACCATGAAAATGAGGTCAAGGACATTGGACATGTGACTGACGGAAACCTCGTAACATGAGGCATCCATATACAAAGTATGAAGCATCCAGGTCTTCCACCCTCTAAAATATAAAGCTTTTAAGAAGTTAGCTAACGCCGCCGCCGTAGCCGGATCACTATCCCTATGTCGAGCTTTCTGCGACAAAAGTCGCAGGCTCGACAATAACTAGAGGCTCTCAAGAGCCTTTGAAGCTCACCTGACTCTACTTTGGTTTTAGAAATCATGTAAAGATAGATTAAAATCATAACAGATACCCAAATAATGATTGAGGCCAAATTTGGTTTAATATTGGTCCCATTATTTAATAAAATATCCTGGTGGCCATCTTGAACAGTAAATCAGCAACAAAATAGCAACACTTGGTCAGCACCTCATAAGGAACATTCCTGCTATGTTTGGTTTTATTCCATTCAGTGGTACTCTATAAGAAGACATTTGTATGTATTTCCTATAGGGTCCTATGTTAAACTAATTCCCCCCCCCCCCCCCCCCCCCCCCCCCCCCACTGGCGGCCATCTTGGATGATGGATCAGCTGCAAAGTAACAACACATGGTCAGCACCTCATAAGGAACATTCATGCCATGTTTGGTTTCATTCCATTTAGTGGTTCTCTAAAAGTAGACATTTGTATGTATTTCCCATAGGGTCCTATGTTAAACTAAGTCCCCTGCTGGCGTCCATCTTGGATGATGGATTGACTGCAAAGTAACAACACTTGGTCAACACCTCATAAGGAACATTCATGCCATGTTTGGTTCCATTCCATTCAGCGGTTCTCTAAAAGAAGACATTTGTATGTATTTCCCATAGGGTCCTATGTTAAACTAAGTCCCCCGCTGGCGGCCATCTTGGATGATGGACCAACTGCAAAGTAACAACATTTGGTCAGCACCTCATAAGGAACATTCATGCTATGTTTGGTTTCATTCCATTTAGTGGTTCTCTAAAAGAAGACATTTGTATGTATTTCCCATACGGTCCTATGTTAAACTAAGTCCCTCGCTGGCGGCCATCTTGGATGATGGATTGACTGCAAAGTTACAACACTTGGTCAGCACCTCATAAGGAACATTCATGCCATGTTTTGTTTCATTCGATTCAGTGGCTCTCTAAAAGAAGACATTTGTATGTATTTCCCTTAGGGTCCTATGTTAAACTAAGTCCCTCGCTGGCGGCCATCTTGGATGATTGACCAACTGCAAAGTAACAACACTTGGTCAGCACCTCATAAGGAACATTCATGTCATGTTTTGTTTCATTCCATTTAGTGGTTCTTTAAAAGAAGACATTTGTATGTATTTCCCATAAGGTCCTATGTTAAACTAAGTCCCTCGCTGGCGGCCATTTTGGATGATGGATCAGCTACAAAGTAACAACACTTGGTCAGCACCTCATTAGGAACATTTGTGCCATGTTTGGTTTCATTCCATTTAGTGGTTCTCTAAAAGAAGACATTTGTATGTATTTCCCATAGGGTCCTATGTTAAACTAAGTCCCCGCTGGCGGCCATCTTGGATGATGGATCGGCTACAAAGTAACAACACTTGGTCAGCACCTCATAAGGAACATTCATGCCATGTTTGGTTTCATTCCATTCGGTGGTTCTCTAGCAGAAGTTCAAAATCTAAAAAGTTAACGACGATGACGGACGACGACGACGGACGATGACAGACGACGGACGCCAAGTGATGAGAAAAGCTCACTTGGCCCTTTGGGCCAGGTGAGCTTAAAAGGAAACAAGAAATCAAATATGAAGATATAAAACTCTGCAATGATATGGAATATACACATTAGACATGTACAATGTGACTGAATGCATGATTTCATTCAAAAAAAGGACAAGGTATAATGATGCAATTATAACCGATAGTCAGTAGGTTGCTGTCCACCGATAGTAATCAGAGTTCGCGAAAATGGTCGGTCCTGTCGGTCAAAATGAGGCTCGGACCAGTATTTTGAAGGCTAGTGCCAGTCTCAATGACCAATGTAAAAACGGCCGTTGTAGTGCATATTTCAGCACTTTTTTTCATCGGTTATTAGATGTACCGCAACTGTTTCCAATAAGTGTTTACATCGGTTATCAGATGTACACGCTGCCAATTTCCGGTACTGGTTTACGGATTTATTATAAACAAACCAAAGCCGCGATCTACACGTGGCCTACTAAATTTGTTCATAGAGCCATCCCTGGCAAACAATCGGCAATTGACCCTACAATGGAGCAAACAAATACTGTAACAGCCGAGAAAGTGATTCAGATGATGAAATGGATAGTGAAGATGACTTTAAATAAGAACAATCAGAAGACCTGAACTGGTCCTTCATTGTTAATTTGCCTGTGGGTGCGAAGAATAAAACTAATATTAATAAAGTTATTTTTCGATAAAATATGTTATTAATTTTATTTCAGGATAAAATTGACAGATTTTGTAGGACTGGCTAAAATTTTGTAGGACTGACAAACAATCATGCTTTGTCGGTCCCATGACCGACGGATCAAAATAAGTTTTCGCAAACTCGGAGTAATAGATAATGGGTTGGTAATTTCAACCAATTATCCAACACTAGCTCCAAGTTTTCAAAATTGGCGACAAAATATAGCAGCTGGCGATTTTTCTGACTCCAACTTTTTTGGAGCCAGAGCAGCCCCTGAGTACCTATTGGGAAATTCTCAAACCTCTTTCCAAACTTTGTATATTTCGGCACCTTCTGAAGGAACGGAAAAAAAGTGCACAGCAAATTCCATATAAATTTAGCCAAAAGGACCACACGAACCTTAAACCACTAGGAAGGATATATCAGTAGCAGCGTAAGTGCAAAATGACTAGAACAGCAAAATACCTAGCGCTTATATTACTTTCAAGAACCAGCAATATTAATCATATTCATTGTTGCATATTGAAAAGTAAAAACTAAATAGAGAAAACATTTGGGCAGGACTAAATCTACCTTTAGATGAATGTAACAGTTTCAGCAGGTTTGACTTTATTTTTCTTACTCAAGTTACTTAAGCTTTTTCAAAGGAACAAACTATATTGAAGCAGGTTTCGTCTGGCAAACAGAAAACTAATAGGAAGAAAAATACTACTTTTTTTACATACTGTCACTTGTAGTTAATACTTCTGTAATCAAGACTGGTAATGGTAATCCATAGGTCTCTACTTTATGTCCAGCTGTCTCCTCTAACAGCTGTGAAGTCTGTAATGATCTGTTTCCTTGGCTTCTAAAATTATGCAATATATAGAAATTATGAAGAACTATTCAATGTATTCACATATATCTTTTTTCCTGCCTTCCTAAATGTCTGTTATCTACCTGTAAATGCAAATAAGTGTACTGCTTACACAACAATGTTTATCTGCATATTGTTAAAAGGACATTAGCCATCAAATTTATATTCACCGATTTAACTCAAATTCTCATATTTGAATTTAAACACACTTAAATGTACATCCAAATTACAAAAAGTCTAAAAGAAACAATAAACAATGCATGGACGAAAATATGTATTAGAAAATTCCAGTGTATTTTAGTCTAGATGCCATATAATTAACCATCGAGATGAACTCTAGAATGCATAGGGTCTATGACCAATATAAACGTATGTATATCTATAAATAGACAGATAAGCATGTGCTATTGTATACTGAATATTTTTGTCAGAGATTAAAAATATATGTACATGTAAATCATCATTTTTACCTGTAAAAGAATGATGTTTTTTTTGTGGATCGAATCAGTCAACAAAATAGTTCACACTTGTTTCACTTTCAATGTTGACATTCTTTTCTTTTTAATTGCTGAACACACCTAGTAAATGGGTACAACAATGTTACCCATCATCAGCTAAGGGTTAGATTCAAGGTCACATGAATATGAGTCCAACTGAGGTTAAAAAATTGCAGTAATTAAACAGTAATGTTTTTGAGCTTATTTAAACAAATTTGGACCAAACTGACTGCTTGTAATGAAATATTATTTCAAAATCCTGCTTTTCTTAAAGCTTAAAAATGTATTTTAATTCATTTGTCTAAATCGTAGCTACATGTAATGCCCTGGTCCCATTAATGTTTATTTGAAAAATAGCAATGCAAATGTATATAATTGTATATTCCGAATTTGAATGCTGTCATATCTAAAACACAAGTTAGCTGTGAATAAAAGGAGATGTTGGGTAAACATTTAATGCAGATATTTTTAATTCAATAATTAATTTCTATTTTCATCTACAAACTTCTTATAATCATACTTTAAAAACGATGATGTGCCTTTTCCTTTAGGCGTGAACAAGTTTGCAACTCTTTTATTTTTAGCACGTCCACTCTGAAGTGTCTGTGAAAATGGTGAACCACTTGATCTTGTTGTCATTCCACTTGGTGTGAACATGTTTAGGGTTTGCTATATACAACCATGTGAAACTGTTTATTTTTATGCGGCAAACGAAATAATGTCGCTTACGTTCTTTTATAATCAAAATAATATCAAAAACATTATTTATCTAGTTTTCCATTCATCGCCAATACATTTTTAAGACCAAGAAGTGATATGTTAAAATGTTTTCTTTAATTATTCCCTTTCATATAAGTATTAAAATATTTATAACAATGATTTAAGCGGTTTGACAAAAAGACAATGTAAAGTGTTCATTTACGACAAAAGAGACGATTTTTCATTCCCTATTGTTAATTTTCCTTTTTAGACGGCGATGTTCCTTTGGCTCCATCATACGGTGTTTATATATCCCAACTCGTTCGTTATGCCCGTGTGTGTAGTGATGTCATAGATTTTAACGAACGTAATCAATGCATCACTGGTAAATTATTAAGTCAGGGATTTCGTTACCATAAATTACGTAAAACTTTTGCTAAGTTCTTTCATAGATACAAAGATTTGATTAGTAAATTTGGCTGTACCTGTAGAAAACTGATTAAAAACGGTATTTCACATCCTAAATTTTACGGTAATATTGTACTTAAAGCGCTGAAATCACTATGTGATCCGTGTAAGCTCTTCGAACCTTTAAACAAACTTATTAGTAAAGGTTATCTTACCAATGTTGTAATTAGATCTTTCAATATAGTTTACATTGGCACTAATATCGATTTTGTCATCAGCAAATTAAAACATAACTAAATTTGTATTCTTTTCAAACGGGGTGAATAAAGACACACCCACGTTCATTTTGATCTATAAAGAGGTTAAACTCCTAACTATCCTACTGTCTGTCGATACATTTATTTTTGGCATTGCACTAGTCATGTCTTCTTTGACTGTCCATGACGTTAAATACTAAATCCCTGGGATGTGTTTTAGTTGATTTTAGTCTCTGATGCATGATTTTTTATTATTAATTGTTTTGGCTTTTAACTAGCTGTCAGTAACTGCGAGTACTCTCAAATCGTACTTTCTTGTTTATTTGACCTGTTGATACCAATAGACCACTTTCGAGTTCATCCTTCACCGGAAAAAAACTCGTCAATTATGCGCGCCTTTATGACGTCATTTACCAGATAGAGGGGATCGCCTGTATCCCTGCACTATTAACTTTCATCAAGCGTCTTAGTGATCGTCATTGTGCAGGATAAACCAGAAATAATGTTTGTTTTGTAAGTACTTAATCACAATTCCCTAATGACAGTAGTGCTGATTGTCAATTATGAGAATTTAATTTGCCGAATAATTCGTGCAATATAGCATTATAGTTTTCCAGCCATTTGCTCAACATTGGAACGGAAGTGACGATGCCCCTAAACGCACGAATGATGTTCACTAAAACCAGAGTTTTTGACGGAAATGCATCGAACTCGAAAGTTGTCTAATTAATGTTATTCATGGTTATATCTGGTCTATATACCAGCTTTGATAAGTGTTTGGTATTACTATAAATTTTCACTTCGTACTATGAACATCAAAATTATTTATTTTGTAAAAATATTTCCTTTCTCTATTGGAACTGTACACGTATACCTAACAACAAAATTATTTTCATTTACCTGTGTTTAAAGTTATTGCAAATGGCAATTTTTTTTGTTCGAGCATATTGTTTTTCTTAAATTGTTTAACATTTCATACGAATATAACATGTTACTTTTATTATTCTTCCCTTTATTTATTTATTTTGTATTTACATTGTATCATAGGTCAAATTAATTTGTTCAGTGTATGTTCACTGGTGTTAATATGTCCTTTGATTGAGTTAAGCTATTTCAGTTGATATTTTATAGTGTGTCTTTCTATGTTGTGATGTTACACTATTGTTTCAGAAAAAGGGTGAAGGTTTGGTACCATTAAAACGTTTAGACCCGCTGCATTTGTTTGCACCTGTCCTAAGTCAGGAATCTGATGTTCAGTAGTTGTCGTTTGTTGATGTGGTTCATAAGTGTTTCTCGTTTCTCGTTTTTTATATAGATTATACCGTTGGTTTTCCAGTTTGAATGGTTTTACACTAGTAATTTTTCGGCCCTTTATAGCTTACTGTTCGGTGTGAGCCAAGACTCCGAGTGGAAGACCGTACTGTGACCTATAATGGTTTACTTTTATAAATTTTGACTTGGATGGAGAGTTGTCTCATTGGCACGCATACCACATCTTCTTATATCTATATCTTAGGATTTATTTAGATCGCCTTTTCCAAGCTCTACTTCGCGTCTTTATTGTTGAGCAGTGGGCGAAAATTCCTTTCTTTTGGTTTTTGGTTTCAACTCGCTTGGTTGATAATTCTAGCCTCCATAGTGACAATTAAGATACTGGCAAATAGTATAACGTAAGGGTACCAAAATTGCAACTATTTTGACAGTTTTTTCACTTACGTTTATTCATGATAAAGACAAACTGAAGTTTCCATTCTGAGTTTATTTTATAGATGATTTAATTTTGAATCCACATTGAATCATAGAAAATAGGTTTGAACCAACCCCAAACAACCCATGGTTCTGTAATGAGGAGTATCCAAATTGCATCCATGCTTCAATTCACATCCGTAAAAATCGACTAACTCAGTAATGGTTTGTTTTATGGCACTGGCTACGGTTATATTGAAACGTTACAATAATAAAAAAAGTTATTGTTACATTGGAGACTAATTGCCGGAATTCAGGGTTGGGTAAGAAACCGATTAATTACTAATGTAACAATAATAAGATATGGTATGATTGCCGGCAAAAAAACAACTTTCTACAAAAGACCAAATGACGTGGAAGTTAGCAATTATACCTATGCATATACTGCATAGTCAGTTATGAAAGGCCCTGGCATGACAAATATAAATAATTCAAACGAGAAAAACTAACGGCCGCTTTATGTACAAAGCAATAAACGAAAAACATATATGATATACAGCAACAAACGACAACGACTGAATGACAAGCTCCTGACTTGGCACAGGCACACACAGACTGTGGCGGGGTTAAACATGTTTGCTTGTACCAAACCCTTCCCTTACTGACTTGGGTGAGTGGTGTAACAGTACAACATAAGAACAAAGTATAAAAATCAGTTGAAAAGAGCCTTACTCACCAGATCGATACAAAGAACAAAAATCTAACAAAAACACAAAAGACACAAAGCACAGATCCGAGATAACTCGCAGATACTGAAAGCTTGTTTAAAGCCAATAACAACTAATAAAAAAAAATCAAGTATATAAAGCTAAAATATCAATTAGCACTCATCCAACGTCCAATGGATTTATTGAAAAGACGTTAGAGAAAAACATGACCTTGTGCAATGCCAAAATATAGGTATCGACAGACCCTTTGGTGACTTGTAGATGCCTTTTTTTTTTTACATCATTGTAAATTGGATTGCTGTCTCATTTACTTATTATGATTGAATTTATGTTGAAAATCTGTAATATGAAGCTTTTAATACAAAAAAAATGGAGAAAAGTCATTCCGGTGTCATTTAAAATTGCATTAGTCGAGAAATACACGAGACAAGCTTTCATTTAGTTATCTATGACATGACATTTCCCTATTTAACAAAGAAAAATAAATAAAAATAATCGCGGATTGGCAATAAATTAATGCAAAGTCGACCTATTCCATCTATATTTTTTATATATTATATACAAGAAAAGATCAACAGGAAATCCCAGTAAACTTTTTTTCTCTTGCATTACCATTTGGTTGAGATTTAATAGCTTACCATGCAGGCGTGGTTATTTCGTTTCAGTTGAATTAAAATGATATACCAATATAGAACATGGTAATGATAAAACTGAAGGTCTTTTTTTTTGGGGGGGGGGGGGGGGGGGGCTAGACGGAAGAATGGGTAAAAGTCTTTATTATTACAACCATTCGTATGGACGAGTGCACATATCATGCACAGGTGATGTCGGATTACAAACGCGCGTATGTGAAGGATGTTTTAACAATATCAGACCATTTTCCAGATTCAAATGATACCTAAAGAATATCAGAGATTTGGAAAAAATTTCAGAATCCATTTCTGCTGAAAAAATGAAAACAGCACTTTATGAATTGCATGCGTCCAAAGTGCTTTTCTAGAATCACCTTTATAGGAGAGATTTCAACACAAAAGAGGATTTATAGCGGTAAAAGAAGCTGGATATTTTGTTTGACTTTCATTACTACCTGATTTATCTATTTGTTACTCGCTCCTTTTTGATTTCATGCGATTTCCTCAATTTCTATTTGTTTCCTTGGTTTGTCTCTTCCTAATCTATTTTCGAGATTTGGAAATCAGTAAGCTACTGTTGCCTTAATTTTATCCTAGGACTAGATTACACAAGCTGTATTTGGCAAACACCTTTTGAAATTTTTTTGGTCCTCATTGCTCTGTAACTTCCAACTTAATTTGGCCATTTCACTTTTTTATTCTAGCGTCACTAATGAGTCTTTTTTTTAGACGTAACGTGTACAAAATGATAAGCCTGGTAAATCTGATGATTTTTTACAGCTTTACATCATCACATTTAACTAAGACTCGTTTGGTAATGCTTTCAGTTCAGGTAAGTGCTAATATAAAGATTTATACACTTTTGAGCTAATATCTATTATAGTTACATCATTGCTGTAATATAGACTCGGTTGATATTGCTGTCAGTCAAGTGTATGCCAACATAATGATTTATACACTTTTAATTCGAAATTTATTATATCTGGATAGTAAGATTTTCTAGAGCTTACGTTTCCTATCAAAATTTCCTTCATAAAGAGTTGCTGATTTCAAGGAAGCTATTAAACCAAAGGTTCCAAGTGGTAAGTTGAAGTCATCACTTTGAAAGTTTAACGGACGCCATCACAAGTTGGTTGACTTTTGTGGAATATCCGTCTCACATTTTTCCACAGATATGTTTCAATTGTAACCTCAATACCGTCCTCTCTTCCTCAATTATGACATGAATGAGTATCGACACCGAATTTTTAGTGTACTACATATGAGTAACAAGGCGGGTGAAACAAGTGGAGCAAAATCTTTTTATCATTC